AAAAAAAAAAAAAAAAAAAAATCAAATATTGGTGGTCGAAACGAAACGCTTAGATTCCTTTCCACTCTATAGCGGAAGTCGCGGTAACCCGACTATCGTTCGGGCGGTTTGGGTTTCTCCAATAGGACTTCCCAAAAATTTTAGTTTTTGGAACATAGTCGGAAAGTTTCAAAATTAGGAAGAAAAAAAAAGCGGATTTTCGCTTTTTCGCGGAAGTCTTTCATCCTTGGTTTAAATACTGTACAAAAAATATTTATTCATCTGTCTTTTGATAAAATAACAACAGGACATAAGAAAGTAGACCAATAACGTAGACCTAAAAAATATTTTTAAGGACAGAAAAAATAAATTCAGATTTCCGTCTTCGAGTCAGTCTTGATTCCGTCTTTCTTCCGTCCGCGGACATTTTCGAAAGACGGAAATCCGTCCTGGGGACGGAAGACTTGCACCCATGGTTAATGCTTGATTTATTTATAGTGTGTATAGGTTCAGGCAAAATGTTTAAATATTTTTGCTTATTATTTTTAAATTTTCATTTCACTGCCACTTACAAAAATTATTCTTGGAAAGAGCAAAAGTTGACAGGCATGGTTGCTACAGTTAAGAAAGTGCCCTTGCCATGATGAATGAAAATAAACCTTTTTTCTTGTAATATTTTGATTTATATTTTAGTAAATTTAAAATTTTGATAAAATATGCCCCAGCTTTAATCAAATCAGTTTTTGAAATTGTGTTGAAGAGATTAAGTATAGCAGTCTTTTACTTAATGCAGGGGTGATTGAATTCCGGGAGTACCCTGGAATTCCGTTTTTTTTCTTCTTCTTTCTTTTGTATTATCCTTCTGGATCTAAAAATTAGGAGCAGAGCATGTAATTTTTCTAGGAATATCACATTTCTCAACGCCATTGGTTCTCGGATTTTCGCTAATCAAAAACTTATCCGACAAAATTTTCACAGAGTTCGTCTATCTAAAATTCAGATTTAACTTTTGCTAATTCCCGCTAACGAGATGCTTACATACAAGCAATACTTTTGGTTTGGCGAATTTTCGCCATTTTGAATATTTGGAACTGCATCAGAATCTGCTAATATCTTGATTCTTATTCACACGGTTTGAATATCAAACATTGATTTTCGTATTTACCTAAATTAAAAGTAACATGTTGCTTCTTATTCACATGATTTAAAAATCGTATATTGCGATTTGTATTTACTTGATTTAAAAATCCACTGTCACGATTTGTATTTATGCATTTTTAAATTCAATTTTGGGGTTCGTATACACATGTTTTTAAAATCCAGTAACGCGATTTGTATTCACACGAATTTAAAATCCAATGCCGTAATTCTTATTCTCGCATTTCCAATGTCCAATATCGCGATTCATATTCACACGATTTTAAAATTCAATACCGTGATTCATGTTCATGTGATTTTAAAAATCCAACATTGTGATTCTAATTTTTCTTAAATTAGTTAATATAAAAGTGTGATATTCTTCATTGGATTAAATAAATAAATAAAAAAGATATTGTAGCTTTGAAGTGCACATTCCTTAAATATAATACTATTCTTTCTTAAGTCCAAGATATTAACATGTTGTTTATCAATCCCATAAATACATATTTTTTTATTATCTAAATATTATAATTTAATTTAGGTCTTGAAATGTGTCCAATGCATCCCAATATATTAGTTACAGCAAGTATGGATAAAACAATTAAAATTTGGGATTTGGTAAAGTTAAGTCACGTGGAAACAAGAAAATTAAAAGTGGTAGGTTTTATTTTATATATATTTCAATCCTTATTATGGCAAATTTGATTAAAAAATGTCATTCTTTTCATTTCTATTAAAATGTAAAATAGTACTTGTTATTATAAATTAATTATTGAGATTTGTGTTATTGGATAATAATGCTTGGTTGTCATAGTTCAGCCTGCAATAGGATTTGAGGCATAGACTTGTAAGGAAATAAGGCTATAACTGGATAATAGGCTAAAATTTAGTAGAATCATTATCTGAAATAGTATAGAAAATTTTAAGTCCATGCTAAGGGAAAAATGCAAAATTGAAATTGTTTTACTGATTAGACTTATGCATTTTTTGTAGATCTCTCACTCTTTTTTCTAGTCTTAAAAACATTAAATTAAATACAAAAAAATTTAACTTGCAATTCTATAAGAATCTAACTTAATTGGTTAGAAAATAAATACTTAATGCCAAGTTTCTATAAAACAAAATATATTGCATTTTTTTTTATTTTGTTGCTAAAACCTGGAAAATAAGAAGGCATTGAAGTTTAATAATTAATTCTTGTAAAAAAATTCATTGTAATGAGGTTAAAATTATTTTATATTAAATCAATTTAGAGCGCAATTGATGTATTAAACAAATATTTGGTACAGAATTGTGTTGTCCCACAGTAGACTGATCGTAAAGGCAGTATACTGAAGTCAAGCATCACTGGCTGCAATCAATAAGCAGGTATGTGACCATTTTGATCAGCCTGCATAGCGACTGAGATTGTCCATGTTAAACGATTCTATAGTTGCTCTATGCTCTATTTCGCAAGCAGGTTATCGGCTACCAAAGCAGAGGTGCCATCCCCTCTGCAGGGGATCAAATTTGTGATGGTATGATTTCAGCTCATCCTCGGGGATATTTCCCAGACCTATTGTGCTGCCCAAGTGTGGCGTAAATAAAGTACCTGCCTACTAGAATTATATTGAAAGTTGAAAAACCTGGGAAAGTCAGTTTTTTTTTTAAACTGAGTAAGAACCCAGTGAAACAATTTAGAATGTATAAATCATTGAGGTATTTATTCTTAAGTATTAAGTATTCTATTATTTAAATGCTGCTACGAATCTTTTGTCCCCTCAAATTCATTAAAAATTTCTCAAGTTTCATACTCTCTCTTAAAAACAAAATTCTTTCATTTTTCAGGCAGTAATTAAATGTATCATTATCATAAAATTAAGCAGCATCATTGATTATAATGCTGCTACTATAAACTTTTGTTGCTGGCATTTTTTTCCCTATGTGTATAGACCAGTAAACAGACAGCTACTTGACGTGTTCATTTTATGTCATATTTAACTAAGCTTAAAGCCCAAAACGTAAATATTTTCCTCATATTTGCTCTAAACATAAACTGATTCTGAAGCGTGCAAAGAGATTTTTCCTTTCCTCAACGTAATAGATCTGGTCCTACCTCTAACCTAGCTTCAGAGATTTATTTAATAAGGGGCACATATTGAACCAAACTTGCTCTAAATTATTTAATATATAATAGCAATTTAAATGCTTTCTACTACATGAAACAGCATTTTGAACAAAAATGTTGTTAGGTTATAAATTTATAGCACACAAAATGGTCTCCTTAATCACTTTTCAAGTGGCTTCATTTAATTATTTTTATTTAGTGTCCTTTTGCTTTTGACAATCTCACCTGATTTTATTTTGTATGGCACATAAAAAAGTATTTCTTGTTAATTGAAAGGTTTTGGAACTGAATTTTAATTTTGTTAATTGCAATAATACAAAAACCATGTTTGATCTTGGTACCATTATATCTAGTTTCTCTATGAACATATACTAAGTTAATAATAATTATTTTAAAATTAAAATAAAATTCTTAAGCACTTGTAATATTGACTCAGTATCAAGGTATTTATCACAATTTTATTTTTAAGGGATCTATATATACTGCAAAATTCGCTCCAGATGCTGAATCAGTTCTAGCAATTGGGGGAAATGATAGGTCTCATCCTTTGAAAATCCTAGATTTACAACATATTTCCAACAGTATGTATTTTACAAAATTATTATTTTAAACTGTTTGGTTTTCTTACTAATTATTAAAACATTAGTTACATGATTTAGGTTTTTAAAATATATATTAAGCAGTATTTTTATAAATAACTTTAGAATTTATATAATGTTGTTTATAAATATTTAATTTTCAAATATTGCCTTTGGTAAAGTGATATGCATAAATTAAAGTAGTATCATTATGACAAAAAAATTTGGCTGTGTTATAATTATTTATATGAGTTCGTCAAACAAGGCAATTAATTTTGGTGCACATTCGCCCACTTTTAAAGTAAAATATTTTATAAGAATTAAGATTAATACTTCACCAAGATATTTAAAATATGAGACGATTCCTTTTAAAAATGAAAAATATTATTTAAATATATACAGTTAGATTAAAAACGCTATTAGTACAGTTTTTTTTTTTTTTTAATAGATGCATTTTTAGTGTAAAATTCTTTGTGTAAATTTAGGTAAAAACATTTTATTTTTGATATTTGGGAATAAGGTGAATTTTTTTAAAAATTAAATACTTTCTCATTCTTGTATCGTTCATAAATTTTTTTAATGGGAAAAAAAAGGTATTAACACTGAAAGCTTAAACTATGCAGTTTGTAAGATAACATTAAGAAAAATATCTTGATTCTTATTCACACGGTTTGAATATCAAACATTGATTTTCGTATTTACCTAAATTAAAAGTAACATGTTGCTTCTTATTCACATGATTTAAAAATCGTATATTGCGATTTGTATTTACTTGATTTAAAAATCCACTGTCACGATTTGTATTTATGCATTTTTAAATTCAATTTTGGGGTTCGTATACACATGTTTTTAAAATCCAGTAACGCGATTTGTATTCACACGAATTTAAAATCCAATGCCGTAATTCTTATTCTCGCATTTCCAATGTCCAATATCGCGATTCATATTCACACGATTTTAAAATTCAATACCGTGATTCATGTTCATGTGATTTTAAAAATCCAACATTGTGATTCTAATTTTTCTTAAATTAGTTAATATAAAAGTGTGATATTCTTCATTGGATTAAATAAATAAATAAAAAAGATATTGTAGCTTTGAAGTGCACATTCCTTAAATATAATACTATTCTTTCTTAAGTCCAAGATATTAACATGTTGTTTATCAATCCCATAAATACATATTTTTTTATTATCTAAATATTATAATTTAATTTAGGTCTTGAAATGTGTCCAATGCATCCCAATATATTAGTTACAGCAAGTATGGATAAAACAATTAAAATTTGGGATTTGGTAAAGTTAAGTCATGTGGAAACAAGAAAATTAAAAGTGGTAGGTTTTATTTTATATATATTTCAATCCTTATTATGGCAAATTTGATTAAAAAATGTCATTCTTTTCATTTCTATTAAAATGTAAAATAGTACTTGTTATTTTAAATTAATTATTGAAATTTGTGTTATTGGATAATAATGCTTGGTTGTCATAGTTCAGCCTGCAATAGGATTTGTGGCATAGACTTGTAAGGAAATAAGGCTATAACTGGATAATAGGCTAAAATTTAGTAGAATCATTANTGTCAAATTCAAAACATTTCTAGCAATTTTCTATATGGTAAGCAGTTTTCACAATTAAAAATGACATCTGCATTATATGGGACAACACCCTATTAAATTATGTTTTATTTCCTATTACCATCACATCTTGCTGTCCGGACCATCTTTTTAGGGTATTAGCATTTGTTATTAAATTTTGTATTATATAAAATGGTATTGGAAAACCCCTTGTCATTTAGAACTTTCAATGAAAAAGTGCAGATTCTTAGAAATTTGCTAGAAACTATTAGAATTGGATTTTTTTTTTCTTCCAATTGCCAAATATGATTTTGAACAATATCCCAATGTGTCTGAAACTGTCCATATCTTCAAGAATATTCAAGTTTACGAATTTCGTGCAGTTATTTCACATAATAAGTTACAAGCTTATCGCTATTTTGGCATAGGGTGTTCAAAAACATAACTGTGATTTATTGCCGGCCCCTCAAACCTCTAAACTTTATTTATAGTATGTATGACCTAAACCACTTCTAAAGTTTAAAAAAAAATCCTCTTTCTTCTAGCTCCCTTTGTTTTGAAGATTTTTAATATTGTAAACAGTAAATCATCTACCGAAAACCCTTGTTATACTCCTTTTTCCTGCAAATTTACTTACTATATGACACTGAACTTACAGGTGAAGTGAATGTTGAAAAGAAAAATCACCAACAAAAGCAGCCAGCAGCTGACACCAACACATCTATGAAGAAGGTAAAAAAATCCATCAAATCAGATAGAGACACTAAACAGAATTCTAAAATAAAATATGATGAAGGATCCAGTGCTGATCATCCTGTAAAGAAGTTGAAAAAAGAAAAAACACACCTATGACAATAAATTTATTCATATAAAATAAATACTAGCCTATTTCCATTCTAATGTACTTATTAATGCTAAATGGTCTGAAGGAAATTCTATACTTGGTATTGCTCTGTTTTTAATGACTTGCTCATGCTTAGGAAAAGGCACCACGTCACACACCTTAAAAGTTGATGCATCATAATAGATGTAATCTAGACACCCAACAAATCCTTCTGTATAATTGGTGTAATCTGGTATGCCACAAGCACTTGCCATAGATAATGAATGTTCCAAAGCCAAGCCTGGCACAAATTCCTCTGGGTCTAAAATTAAAGTATTACAACATAAATTGAATTGTAAATCAGTTATTTAAGAGGATATACAGAGTGTCCGCTGAAGTCTAGGGAAGCCTCCTAACTCTGAATAACATTTGATCTAATGATCAGATTATAACATGCTCTAAGACTGAATCTCAATGTAACCTAAATATGCTATTTAATTTGCAGATGATATTTTAAGTTATGAAATTTGATTTTCTCAGAATAAATATGCCTTTTTTCTCACCTTATTTGGATTTCTGACACATAGAGAAGCATAGCTGCCAACTCTACTGGATTTTGCCAGGTTTAATAGAAATTCTCCTGGTTTTTGTACATTATGTATTACTAATACATAATGAAATGAATCTCATTTATAGAAATCGGTTCAAAACTTTTTGTTCTAAAATGTTCAATTTATTTTCATGTAGATCTCTCTTAAATTAATTAAATGCCTATTAATTTTCAAAATTATGAGTAAACGTAACATTTCAAGTATGTTTAAAATAATGTCAATCATAATTGTAAAATAGTGCAGTCTTTCTATTTTTGATGACTATAAGAATCCCGAAAATTCCCTATGTGTAAAATATTTTGTACATTACGCAACAATCATCATGAAATTTATATTATTTCGTAAAATCTACTGGATTTCTTCCTATCCATGTTGGCAGCTATGTATCGACGGAAGACTTTAATTTAGAGGCAAGAGAGTAGTCAAAAGTTATGACACCTTGATGCGTATTTCACTATATCTTGAGAGCTTGTTAAGCGAATTTAAAAATTCTTGCCTGCAATTATAAATTTTGTTTATCCAAAAATTATTCTTATTACTTGATTTAATAAGATTACACTAATATAAGAAAACATAAATTTTTAAATATTTAATTTAAAAGACAAAATTTGAAAGAAATTGATCACATAGTTTCGATGTAATATTAGATTTTCATCCAAATTTTGTCTTTTAACCCACTGGCGGTTTAGCAGATGGGTAAAATTAGGAGAATCTTTATCACCAATTTTCCAATCTAATACTATGGAAAAACCAGTTTTCTAATGCAGGGAAGACTGCAGGTTAAAATAAGACTTTTTACGCGCAGAACCGTCAGTGAGTTTAAATTGCACACTTTAAATTGGCGTAAAAATTTTTTATGCCTTACAATTTAAAAAAGAAGTTAAATTAATAATTTTTAAAATTTTTAATAGGAAATTATCTGTAGATAAACAAATTTTATAATTGCGGGCAGAAAATTTTAATTCACTTAAAAAGCTATAAAAATAAAATGAAATTTTTCGACTTGCCTAACTATTGAGACGATATTTTCTAGATTGCAACAATGCTGAATATTCTAAAGGTCAGCCAACAAAATCTGGCTAACTAAGAGGTATGTTTATTCAGAGAAACTCTATATTTTTGTCTGATTTCATAATTTGAAAAATCGCTTGCATTAATTAATTAACATATTAAAAGTGAGGCTTTCAAACCATAAAAAACATTGTTCCACATGCAAAACCAACTAGTTATCAAACAATATTTTTGATATCTTTTTTATATTACCTACTATACATCAACTAATTAAACAGCTTTTTGTTCTAATGATCGGATTTTTACGAACTAAGGGCAAATGTTAATCATTCAAAGGAGTGACCTAAAATATGCTAATTAAGGGCGCCAAATCAGACAGGAAAATGTACTTTCTCTAGTCTGACAAGCCTTTTTGGCACCTAAAATATTGGGGGTAACAGAAAATTTGGTCCCAATAATTAGTCCAAACAGTAGTTAAAAGTTTGAGTCTATGATATTTTCAATGTTTGGCTACCTCGGAAAGTTTTTAAACTAATCAAAATATTTTTGCACCCAATTATAAAATTAATTTATCTAAATATAATTTTGTGTAAAAAGTAGATTTTAATAATTTGTATACTTCATAATTTTAAATTTTTTTGACTCCAAGATTACAACCAACACATAGATGAACAAAATAAAATTGCAGATATTTACAGACACTTATATGCTTATTAGTATTGAATTCTAGATATTTGATAAAGCATTACATATCATACAGTATCTAAGGTTCATGCCGATGCAATTATGCAGGTCTAAAAATCTGGTTACTAATTGTCCAGGAACCAATACTGTAAATTTCTGGCATGTGGCTGTGAACTTGTAGGGTCTATAGATCTATTTTCTAAAAGTAAACTGCTAATAAATCTAATTATAACTGCTTAATTTATAGACTTTCTTAAGACATACGTTAAAATTATTGAAATGTTACAATTTAAGTGATCACAATATTTAAGTTTTAATGTATAAACTTAATTTTTTTTTTCTCAGTGGCCATACATTTTGGCAGCTACATATGTAGCATAGATGGCATGCGATAGGCCTGGAAATTGGTAGAATCAGATTTTCAGACCTGCCCATATGCCACATATTCACAGTATTGGTTTCTGGATATTTTGTAACTAAGTTTTCAGACAGGCCTAATTATCACATGCCAAATATTTACAGTATTGATTTCGGGTCATTTTACCTTCAAATAATATATATATATATATAGAGAGAGAGAGAGAGATTTTCATAACATTTTCAAAAACTGATAAATTTCTTATAGATAATAATAAAAACATGGTGAAAGTTTCTTTAAGAAGAAAAAAATACGGTAAACTCAACTATCTTTTGACAATTTTTTTTAAAAAAGAAAGAATACTCACTACTGTTCCAGTCTTTGAATGTATTTTTTAGATGTCTTGAAGTAATTAATTGGTAGATTCCACAATCTGGAGAACTGTTGAAATCTCCACTAAATATAAGTCCTGTTGTATGTGATGGGTCCTAAAAATATGTATTTGTATTAATAACTTAAAAACGTTGAACACATCTCATTTATTTAAATTAGCCAAAATTATGCAAGCTCTATATTTATCCAAATTCTCTGAGAGATCTCTTATTTATTTCTTCAATGACTAATATATTTCGTAGAATTAAAAAACATTTCAAATAAAAATAAATCCATAGTTCATAATAGGTGTGCATGACTTCAATCTATAAAAACTTTTACTTTAAGATTCAATATACTTATAATTAGCTATATCAATAATTAAATGAAAGACAGTAGTTCTCAAACTTTTCCCAGTTGTGGCACCCTGTCAAAAATAAAAACTGCTCCACGACACACCAATTATGTAGACATAGCTGTACATTTATTATGTAGACATTTACAAAAACACAAAGCAACTAAGTGCACATCTGTTGCAGAATGATTCTGTGGTGAATGGGTGCATTAATAAAGAAACCATATTTAATAACAAACAAATTTAATAATGAAATGATATGATATGAAATGGGGCATGCCAATGAGCTATCCAGTTCAATCCATTACCTGCCACATAAGTGATTACAAAATTATTGTGAGTGATTACAACACCCTCTTCTGGTCGGGCAGAAATTCGTAACAACATCAAACTAAAGACAGTATTTTTACATAATTCATCATAGTTTAAAAAATGGAATACTTCAAATCATTTATGGGGAATCAGATCAAGAGTAAAAACGGACAAATTAGGCAAATATTTCGTAATGTATGTTAGATCTGTCGGCAATTAATTTCTCTCAATATTTTCTATGATGAAAATATCTTTGTTATTTATAATAATAGAATAAGTCTCTTCACATATCAAAATAGATAAGTGTTTCATGTGAAATTACCAAATTCTGTAGAAAGTTTGGTGCAAATGCTAAAAAAAAAATAATAGAATTTTTCTATAATAATTATTAAAAATTGATTTAAAAAAATAATTGGCTTACTTGCTGTCTGTATTTAAGAAGTAAACTTTCTAAATATAAAATACAAGATGATCCTTGAATGAGACGAATGTTGTCTGATTTAGGATGGAAGTATAGGTGAGTATTTCCTACAAGAACTCTCTTCTTGGGTACATCAGTACTCTCTAAAAGAATCACCTAAACAAGAGGGTAAATTTTTTTTATTAATAAATTCATGATATTAATTTTACAGTAACACATCTCTAAAAAAGTGTGAAAATTTCATCTCATTTTATATAAATAAAAATCTAAAATAATTATGAATAAAATAGTTTATATATAAAATATATTAGTTTATATATATATATATTTGTGGATATGTAAAATATATCCACAAATGTCACTCTTGGAAGACAGGAAGGATGTCCAGTTTGAAACTGAGTCCGAGGAAAGTGGTAACAAGAAGTGTGACAACAGTTTAATTTAGCAGATTAAATAATCTTATAGTATTTATTTTCATGATTTTTTCATTCAAAAGTATACAAAAAATCTTTAGTTAAAAAAAGTCACTAAAATGCATTAAGTTAAAACATAAAATTTCAAATTTGTTCTACAATGAAGTGCTATGTTTCTGAATTGAAAGTGTGTATGACAAGGGGGTAGGGATATTGTGAAGTGTGACAAAGGGGGTTTAATATATTGAGAAAAAAATACGATATTTATGAATAGCTTCTTATTAGGGTTTTTTTATATCAGCTTTTCAAAAATTAAAAATTTTATTTATTATTAGCTTAAAAAAATAGACTAAAGGTAACTTAGTAAAAAATAAAAATTCTTACATTTAAAATAAACTCATTTAAAGGTGTACTTAAGTTTAGTTATATATGATTTGGTTGCTTTTTTGCATCACAAACCAGTTTTTTTAGAGTTGTTTAGCGAAGGATTTTTATACAAATTTTGCTCACATGGCGAAGTTAAAGCAATTAAATATATAATATAAAAATGTTGACAACAAGTTTACTTGCATGGAATTAAAATTTTAGAAAACTTTAAATTTGTTAAAGACTATAACTCAAATGTAACAAAAGAAATTATATCCTACTGATAATTTATAGCTAAAAAGATAATTTAAAACATTTCATATTGAAATTCTTACCTAATATTAGCAATTTCAAACAATTTAATGTTTAACTTATATTAGTTTATAAGTTACGTAACCAAATATACCAATAATAATCACCAGCATTTTGTTTTAAAAGATTATCTTTGGGTGAATGAAATTCCAGTTAAAAAAGGTACCATGAAAAAACATTTTTGTATTACACAGTAAAAAAATTATTAAGATTTAATTATTTCAAAAGTAATAAACATAAAATTGGGTTCAAATAATTTTTTTTTCAATCTAAGGAAGAATGTATTGGTTGAAAATAAAATTAAATGGCTAATGAGTCAGAATTGGCTGAACTGCACAAACTAAACATAAATGGCATTATATACTCTAGATAAGTTGAAAATGTTTTGTACACTAAGTCTTACAAAAAGAAATATTTGCAAGATTACTGGGGAAAATCTGTAATGAGCTTTCTCTCATTATTTAAATAAGGCACCTCTTCCTCCTCAACTAAAGTTATAAAAAAAACTACAACTTATAAAATAAAACTAACTTATGATCTGTATTTACCAAATTAAAACTTATTTATGATAACACAATTTAAAGTTTTCAGAAAAGGTGCTAAATTTTAATAGCATATTCTGCAAATTGGAAGAATAACTGCTTAAGCATGGCGATATTCCTGAAATTTTTAATTTGTAATATCAAAATTTCTGCAATAATGCTTAAACATATTTAAATAAGTTATGATAATAGTAAAAACACACGAACCTGTAAAGCAGTAGTTCTGCTCATTATTTTCTGCTTTAGTTTTTCATTTTCATTAATTTTAGAATACATTTTCTGCAATACTGGTTCTGTTGGGAAAGCTTCACTTAAGATAATTGAGTGTGATTCAATAAGTCTACAATTAAAATGCATTTAATAGTACAATTATAAAAGCGAAAGAAACAAAATAAGAACATTAAATTAGCATAATCTTATATTTACATCCTATGATAGATAGGTATATTTTCAATTGATTAGTTTGGTTTTATTTTTTCTATCTTTGTCTTACTTACAACTTTAGATATTTAATTTTTAGTTTTGTTTTCTATTTTAGTATATAAACTAATTTAATATTCAAACCTGCTACATCATTTGACTCTCATCCGAAAGATCGATTTCCCCCTCAGATTATATTTACTTCTACTTTTGAGATTTTAGTATATCATCTTTACCTGACTATCTTTATGACATACCCTGACTTGACTAAAGAGTTTCTTGTTTATTACTCTTTTTTTTTTTGAGGCGGTCAGGGTATTATTGCTGGTGGTATTTTGCATTTGACCACAGAAACTACTTATGTTCTGGCAGCATTGTACTGCCCCCTGATGACGCTGACGTGTTGTCAGTGATTTTCATTTTTAATCTTTATTTTGGGGATATATATATTTTTTGATTATTGTAAAGTGTTTTTAATGATAGTTGGATTATTGCTGCTTTCCTGTTATTAATTGGATTCAATTCGGTTAATTTGTTTTTTATATTTTTGTTCAAATATATATGTGGAGCCGTGGTGTTTGCCTTGCAATGAGTTGAACCGGGTTTGAATCCCAGCGATGGCTGGTTGATACGAATACGGCGCCCGGCTTACACACACAGTGCTGACGTAAAAATATACTCAATGGTAGATGGATCATGGGTTAGAATCCCCTTGCTGTCAGGCTAACCGTGGGAGGTTTTCGTAGTCTTATTCTCCATGTAACACAAATGTAGGCCACATCAAAAAGACCTCCACGAAGGCAAACTTTCTCCAAATACTTGATGCAGTTCTTTTGTCTTCTGGATTGGGTTCAAAATTACAAGGCTAGGGAGTTGAACATTAGCAGTCCTAAACCCAAAAAAATTGGGTCGGCTGTTCAACGATGGTTATAAATATATATATATATATATATGAGCTATGGTGGCTCAAGGGATAGAGTGTTCACTTTCCAATAAGGTGAAACGGGTGGCTGTTCGATACAAATTCCGCACCGATCTCAGTGGTGATGTAAAATATCCTCTGCAGTAATCCGATCAAGGGTTAGAGTCCCTTTGCCGTTAGGCTAATAGTGGGAGGTTTTCGTCACCATGCAATGGAAATGTGCGCTTCATCAAAAAGTCCTTCATGCAGGCAAATTTCTCCCAATACTTAATCCAGGAGTTCCTTTGTCTTCTGAATTGAGTACAAAATTACAATTCTACGGAATTGAACATTCGTAGTCATAAACCCAAAAATTGGGTCGGCTGTTCAACTATGGTTATAAAATAATATATATATATACATAACACAATTAAGAGAAAAAGGATAATAAAAAATAGTTTAAAGAAGAATAATAAATTTTATTTAAGTTATCTATGTTTTTATAAATATATAGTGTTTTAATTCAAAAGCTATCAAGAAAGAACAATTGAAATCTAGAGCTGTAAAGCATTTACTTGCATTCAAACAAGAAAAGATAATTACGCATTTTAAATTCCAATGCATTGTTTCGAAAAAGAATACGAAACTAAGAAAATATATGGTTAAAAATAATAAAGAATAAATGAGATGTTTTCAACAGTACTAAAACAACAGAAAATATTGATGTTTCATTAGTGTAATCAATAAAAAAAAAAGTAGTCACAAATTTTATCAGTTTTTAAAACAAGTTTTTTCCCTCTGCCGTCTCTAGACTTGCTGGTCTTGTTGACTAACCTTCTATGTTTATTTACTACAAAATAGCTTTTATGAAAACATAGTCATTGACTTAAAATTTACTAAAAAATATTACATCAAATTTTAGCAATATTTACTTCAAGTTGGGCAATATATGCCTCAAGGCAAGTTTGGGTACTAACTAATAAATCATAGAGAAGTTTTTGTTAATTAAACGGAAAATATTGATACATACTTAAACTTGGAAGCTCTGTAAAAACAAGCGAGTCCTTCAACAACTCTTCCACCTTTCTCATTATACAGCCCTTCCAATCCAGTTGTGGACAAAACCGGAAGCAGATCATCAGAAAATATTTTACGATCAACTTCTTGCAAACAAATTATATCTCCATTATAACCTATTAAAGTACATAACAAATGAATAGAATAGGTTTGAAAGAAAAAAAAAGGTGAGAATAAAAGAAAGTGTAAAACCTTCATGATTTAACTCTTTTTGAAACATTACAGAAATGCTGTGTTGTTTGGACTAATTTAAGTTTGAAAATTAATAATTAATTATAATATTTTTTGAAGCTGGAAAACTCTGAATTTTATAAAATTTTAAGAATTCTAGTAATTCTTTACTATTATTTTTTTTTAATTTAACCTATTTGTCTACAAACTCAAGGCTATTATTTAGTGCTGAGCTGTATATACATATTTTATAATCAAACCTTTGCATTGAGTTTAAGACAATCTAGATGTGGTTTCTTTAAAAAAAAAAAAATTGATGAAAGCAAAAAAGCTTTAATGAGGCCTTTAAAATTTCAAAAAGTAGAAATTTATTATGCCAATTTATCAGAACAAACTATATTCTAACTGCTACATTTAATAATATGAAGAAAATCAAATGTTGCAATAATGAAAAGCATTTATTTGATCTATTCAACATTTTGTATGATAAACTTTCTATAATCAATAACCTGAAATGAGAATTAATTTTTGCATTTCAAAAATATATTTCTAGCAAAAATTTCTTAACTTTGTTATTAGTTTTAAAACCTCAAATATTCGGAAACTTTGAATAGAATTATAAATTTAAAGAGGATCAAACCACAACCACTTTCACATTAAGAAAACTAATCAAATATTATTTCACTACTATCGTTCTTTGGTGACCAGCTTGGTCACTTTTCCAAATTATCTTGTAAAACATATAAGTTTTAAAGGTAACCAAGCCGAAAGCACATCCCAACTGTATTTAACCCCTCTTCCAATCTCAAAACTTTTTAATAAGCTTTAAATAATATAATAAACAATTTTTTTTTTACCGTCTAGTTGTTACCCGCACGAAAGTGCTTTGATTTTAAATTTAACTATTTTCAAGAGATGTTTGAGATATTATCAAAGCTCTATATGTATTGAATTTTAGTAATAATTTAGTCATTAAAGACAGACATTGAATCAGACAAACCAGGGTAAGTATGAGTATGGGACATTGCAGCATAGTAGGCAGCAAAAGTATTATAAGTATTTCCATCGCTGTTGTAAAATAAGAGAGAAAATTCATCTCAATGCTCCATTATGTGTGGTAGGGTGACCTAGGGTAATTCCTGATCAAAAAACGCAAACATCTATTTTGTGAAAAAAACTATTCGAAACAGAATTTTAATATTTACTGTAAGTTTGAGGCTATATGAGGTGAGTCCAATGCCACCTTCTTTTGTTTGAAAATCTAATTAGAATTTAAAAGATTTTAAATTTTTAGTGATCAAGAATTACCCCTGGTCTTGATCATTTCTGGGGTAATTCCTGATCACTTCTGGGGTAATTACTGATCACCAGTTTTTATTGTAAAGGGGCAGTTTAAAAATAATTATATAATGGTAATTAACAAATAAGACATCAAGATCAAACAAATAAACCAAAAAGATATGTTTAAGCAGCTAATAAAATGATTTATTTAAAAGCACGAAAAACGATTAGCACTTTAAATTTTCAAAAATCTTTGCATCGTGCCATACATTTTAGGCAATCATCATTCTCATGTTCTTCTGAAATATAAGAGAGTTCCCACATGGGTTACTTTTGCTGGATTTTTTAACTTCATTAAGGGAAAGTGAAAAGTTAAATGAGGTATGTCAACAGCTCTGGCAGCAGCTCTCACACTGAAATTTTCATTTTCAATCATTAAAAAAAATTCACTAATTTTGTTTTCTAGAAGCTTAGTATCCTTTTTAGGCTTATAATTTCTCACCATATTTATACTAGGCTAATTTATAAACTTAAAAATTATTCTAACGATGTACACACATAAAATTAAGATAGAAGCAAGGTAAGACAAATCAGAAATGGTGCAAATCAGAATACAGTCTTGTATACAGTTAAAATATATCTTATAGTTGTTCCACTTAAGAAATATGAACTGTTATTTAAGAAAAGACAATTAGGTATTTATAAGCTACTTTATATTCTATTTATAAGAAGAAATGACAATGATCAGGAATTACCCCAGTGATCAATAATTACCCCATCTGTAGGGGGCAACATTTGATATAGTTTCCTATAATCATTTATCATGTTTACAGTAGATGTGAAACAATTGAACAAAAGCTTACACTACTTTTATATCAAAGAAAAAGAAAGTGACTCAAAATATTTATTATTAAGAGAATATTTAATATTTATTATCAATTATTATCAAATTATTATTATCAAATATTTATTATCTTTGCAGAAAAGTGCACATTTTGAAACCCACCTTTGAAATGGAAAATACAGAAGGCAGTTTAAAAGATACTTATTTTGTTAGATTAAACAAAAAATTATTATTAAGTAAATGTAGTTATACTTTAGTAAAGTGTACAAGCATTCTTGTCCATGTCTTAAATTTAAAAAATAATAATTTTTTTAAAAATAAAACTTAGGTGATCATTACTTACCCCAGAAACAGAATGATCGTGAATTACCCCGGGTCACCCTACTAGGTACAACTTTTTTATGTACCTCTAGAGCTATAACTTGAGTATCGTTTAATGTATACATATGCCATTGCTCAAAAAGTTAAACGCTGTCACAAATAATTGGTATTTGAATGAATGAAATATATGAATGAAATTTTTCGGCTTAATAAATAACAGATAAACTATTTAATGCAATATATTTTAATACTAATTTCTAATTTTTGTAAAGAAAGCTTTTTTTCTTCTTTTTTTTGCAGAACATAGTTTTTTCTCTTCTTTTTTTTTCTTAAGCATTGATATTACAAATAAGTTTATGTCAAAATCTGGATCACTTCTTGCTGTTAGGCCCCTGGGAAATTAATGTCCCATTAATCTTTTTGAGTGGGCACATGTTGTTTCACTAGTATCCAACATTAACAGATGATCATAAAATGATAAACTTTCAAAATCATGCAAATTACAATTCAAAACAACCTAAAAGGATACATATAATACTTTTATTATGACACTCACTTTTTATTAGCTCTATTTCAGTTATTTTCCACACAAAATGATGCAGAAATTTTCACAAACATGTGATTTCCTCAAAGCTATGCCATGACAGTTATAAAAGTGCTTCTAACCATTTAAATAGGAAGTTCAAAAGACTGTAATGATCAAATCTAATGTTAAAATGGAATCTATTTAGCCCAACAATCTACTTGAAACGTCTGATAGGATATCTAACTGAAGGTTTGAAAGATTTTTAATTTCCATTTAAATATAAATATATAAGAAAGTAAAACATTAAAGAAAAACATACCTATTGAATTTTCAATGAAAATCATAAAATGAGTAAATATGAATGATATAAATATGAGTGATTTATGAATTTTTAGGTATTTATCTGAAGTTATAAAAACCCACATATTTTACATACACCTATCTACCACTACATCTATAATCACAACTGGAAGTTCTAAACATGAAACAAAGTTTTTAATAATTCATTTATAATTATTGCATAATTAATTGAAACAACTAATCTTTTAGATCTACTTGTATAGTTTTGAAACATAATTGTAATATTTACCAATTATTTCCTTCAAATATAACTGTTTTCTGTAATCAACCATCAATGCATCAATGGGGCAGTAGGGAAAAAGGTCATTACGAGCAGTATCTGTATCTGCATATAAATCAGCCAGTATATTATATGATACACATCTCAAACTGTAAGAGAAATTTATTTATTTGTAATTTAAACACATAATTCAAAAATACATGCAATATAATACATACTGGATTATAAGAAATTCTAAAACAACTAAGTAAAAAAGATGTTCCTGTGATAACCACTATAAATATATAGAATTGTAGTAGAAATTATTGCCTTGTTTTAAGGAGAAAATATGGTAAATCAAGATGAATAAAATATTTTTTTAAAAAAGAGTGCCCTTTGGTAAGCCAGGCAAAAGTAAATTCAACGATTTTTTGTTTATTCATAATGGACGTTCAGAAAAAAATTAAATAAAATAAAAAAATAGTTGAATTTACCTGCTCTCGGCTTACCGAAAAGTGCCACAATAAATTAATATGCTGTATTTCAGTCACAACTGTTTAGGCACTGACAAATAAAAATAACAGATACAATTTAAATCATGATTAATCCACAGAATATAAATTTAATCCATACATAAAAAAATCTAATGTTGGTTCTCTATGGAAAGATTTCACAGATATAAAAAGAAACATACTTCAAGTCAAATTTTAGTGGTTCAACTTTCAATTTTAAGCCCTCCTACATTAAAATATTTTATAGTGCCAAATTTGATTTGAAGCATTCTGCATACATGAAATTCGGGGAAATTTCCGTATTGTGATCTGTGGCAGAATTATTGCCAAGTAGGCAACTTCCTGACAGTGGCCAGCAAGAAACTAAAAAGAAAAACATCACAGAAAGGGGCCAACTCTAAAGGTATAACTCGTATCCATCGCAAACATCAATATATTTGTTTTAAAAACAGTGTGCAAGTTTAAAATCTATTTGGCATCTTCGGGGATTGTGGTTAGCACGACAGATCAAGATACGGAAATATCCCCCAGAATTATACAAAATTTTTTAATATTACCTTCCAGTTTTAGTTACTTCCTTTGTATATTCATGACGGTCCTCAAATGGACATCTTTTAGGACCAGGTTGCACAATATCAGGTGATATTGCAGATTCTTCCACTCCAGTCTTATCCTCACATTTTGGAAGGCAAGTTAATTTTAACCTACAACCGATATCGCTCTTTTGAATGACATAAATGAAGCTTTGACATATAGGTAGCCAACTTTCACCCTTGATTTTAACTATATCATCTTGGTAACAGGTTTCAATGCTGTTTTTAGATATAGATCTGAACCAGTTAAATTGGCAGTGTTCTTTGGAACAGAATTCTAGGCCAATTTTTGGATAGATCGGAAATCCAGCCATTACGCTTCTTGGTAAACTTATTTGAAGAACTGTGGGCGGGTTTTGTATTATTTGGTACACTACTTCATTGATTTTTAACTCCGTAGATAAGGTCCACGCATTAAAACAATTTTCAGAATTGCTTACTAAATCCTCTTTATTAAATAGTTCAATGGTAATATTTGGTAAACTGTTTGTTTCATTGTCATCAGTGACAGCGCGTTTTTTCTTTTTGGATAATTTTTTAGTCATGGCATCTAATATTTTTAATTGCATTCGAGCTAAAGTAGTTTCCAGTTTTTCATTCTTTGAACGAACGAATCCGAAATTTTTTTCTGTGAATTCTGCTGTTCCAAAAGAGAAATTAATTTTCAATGTATCTTCTGCTTCTAGATGTCGAACGAATGCTTTGCGGTAAGTTGACATTTTTCTATATGTATTGGCTTTACTAAAACTAAAAAATAAATTTTTTATCAAAAATTTAGAGAAATCTCTCATACTACTATGTCATTCTTAACCAAAACAATACAAAATCTTCTTAACAAGTTAACAATAACTTTAAAAAATAAAGTCAAAGCAGACTGATATACGATTTCGATTACGTCATACGGTCAAGAACAAGATTCCAATCTTTTTCAACTAAGTATGTTACCAGCTTCTAGCTTATGTCTCTGTACATATCAGAGAATCTTTGCGATCAATGCAAGCCCTAGCCAAACTGAGAACTGAGTTATCACTTACTAACGGATGATTACGTAATTTCAACGTATTGCGCAACTTTCCGTAACGGTTATCTAACGAATGACTTAACAGCATTTATTTCCTCAGAGTCTAATATCGTTAAAAAAACTGATATCGTTTAAAAAATGTGGTTATCAAATAGTGGTGCAATAATTTTACGCTAAGAAAATTATTGTACAGTGAAATGAAATCAATTATATTGTATCACTTTTTTTTTTGTTTAATCTCTTGCGATTTGTTTTATTTTAACACAAATGTTAATTGTTTCAAAAGTTTTCTTTTCAGCAATTATAACGTTTTTGAAGCACTAGGAAGGCCCGATCATTGTTTTTCCCCATAAACGTCGATATTTCCCACAAACAATACAGAATATTTTGTTTTCAAAATATGTAATTATTATAGTTTTATGTAAGTTGTAGTCTTAGGTTATGATTAATCACAACGAAATTAACGATTACCTGGATCTGAACTTGGAAAAAAATTACCTAAAAACTCAGAATATGTGACTCAATATAGAGAAAAGAAGTAAATTTATTCGTTGACAAAACTTATAACAATTCAAATGTAGAACTGTTATTATCACTCTTTATTAAGTTATTATTTGTTTTTAAAAACTTCGCAATAAATGTTGAGATTTATTTTTAGCAAACCTAATCTTTCTCTTTTGATTAGCATATGCACAAGCGCGAGTTTATAAAATGAAGATCTCTTGAGGATAAAATATATTTTCAACAACAAAAGATAATAGACAACATTTTCTACAACAATATTTAAAGAAGAAAAACATGAAAAAAAAACTTGAAGTTGCAGTAACTTTTGAACAAATTAAAATTTTGAAACAAAATTTGTATTAAGAGCTCACAAATAAGAATGTTTCTCTCTGCACGTCAAATTTTAATTCCCTAGTTTCATTTCAGAGGGCTACTGATAGAGTGAACAAGGTATTTTAACAATTTTTTCTGTTTACCCTCATAATTTCAAGTTTCTAAATCTAATATATTTTGTGCAGCAAAAGTAAAATGTATCGTACAACCAAAAAAGTGATAGAAAAATCGTAAAAAAAAGCACTAAAAATTGCAATAACTTTCTACAAATTGAAATTTCGAAATATTTTTTTCATGAGAAATTTTTGTTTAAATAAGTTTTTATTAAAAATGCTTTAGCTGAGGTTAATCGTAAATTTTGATACAAAACATTTTTTATCACAAAATCAATATTCATTGTAATTTAATTGTAAGATAAAATAAATGAATTACACATTTATTTCAATGCAAAAAAATCAACATTATTAATTTTTTAATGATTACATGAAAGTTTTTACAAAACAATTTTACAAATAGCTCGTCTTTAGAATTTATTTCTAATTTTCTTGTTGAATAGCTTGCAGTACAATTTTATGTTTCGATTTTCTCTTTCATATTCACATTTGTTTAATAAATAACATCATTTTGAAGGCCTTAAATTATTTTTAAACTTTATGTAACTATTTTAGCAGAAATTTCATTATTTAATAATGTAAGTAAACAATTCAGGCACTTTTTAACTACAAATATAAAATAAAGTTTTCATTTATTAATTTAAATTGCGTTTAATCCTTATGAAATAGGTAAAAAAAACGTATCTACTATGATTTCGCACGAAAATGTTCGAAAAAAAATTATGTTAATCTGCTGTCCGTCAGAACATAGGCGTAGAGTCGGGAGGAAATTTTACAAAACTTCAGAATTTTTTTAAAGTTATTACATTTTTTACAATACCAAAAAACGGATTTTTAATTTAATAACTTCTGATATTTTATTAATAATATAGCGAAATAATTCCACGTTTAGCATTTTTATGAAGTGGTAACTTGAAAACCATTCAATGATTTTTCTTAAAAACTATTTCGTTTATTACTTAATGATTTCAGCATGAATATATAATAGTGGTAAAAAATTATATAGTTAAATTTATGCTCGATGTATTTTTTTAAATTTAAATTATTTTCTATTAACATTAATAAAATTTTTAAACATACTATTTATATTTAGTAACTGTCGAAAGTTTTTAATATCGCTTTAGCTTAATTTTGTTTTCTTAAAGCATTAAACAACTTCCAGCTTGTTTGGAACTCTAAATTTATAATTTGATATGTTCCAAATATAAATTTCTAGGTATAATTTGATAGAATGCTTAATATTCTTATTTGTAACCAATGAATTTCATTTCCATAGGCCATTCTTACACTGTTGATTTTTTAAATCTAGCGTACGAATTTTCTGTATGTGTCAACATAATGCCTTCTAAACTATTTTATTTGATTATTGCATAACTTTAAGAAATTTAACAAAGGGAATGGTTTCACTAGGAAGAATGATCTTCACTAAATGCAAAAAGAGGTACATTATAGCGCATAGTGAAAACGTTATTCTTTTAGACTTAAAGGAATCTCATGTTAATGAATTACAAATTAAAGTACATTATGATGAATCTGATTTTCTCATTATCTTCCGGGTTATAGTTAAAAGATAACTAAGTCTGTTAAAACTTTTTATGTTTCTGGGGCTGTGGGATAAAGCGATCATATCAATAATTTCAACCCAGACTATTATTTATATTATTCTTTCATTAAAAATATTTTTAGTGACAATCAGGATTGTACTTGTATTAGATTCTGTACGATTTTTCAATCCCAACTATATTTTCGAAATTTTAAATGGAACATAATTCCTATAATGAAAAAAATTCTTAATATTTACTTAAAGCAGTAAATATTTAAAAAAAAAAAAATCTAGGAATAAAAAGTTTGAAAAACCAATATAAGAAGATTTATTTATAATTATTGTTTAAAAATACAGTTAGGAACCGAGAAAAATCGAATTTTTATATATCATCCCTTGAAATAGGATTGTACATCTATCTTAACTCTGACAAAAGTTTACTTTTATAACTATAGTTATAAAAAGAAACTTTGACATGTTTTCTTTTCTTAATTTTAAGAAAATAAAGCAGCAAAATTCAAACTGTCCAAGGTTTCACAATATGTCCTGAATACATAACAAAATCCGTCATGTTCCACAAAATATTATTGCCAATATAATAGTTATTAACACTTCTGCAGTGCTGGCGGAAGACGTTTTTACGTTCCAAACCCTTAACTCAATTTTCGAAAAGAAATCCGAATAATAAAAAAAAACTAATTTTCCTCCATTTCCAACATAAAATTGCTTTTTTTTCCTTGCCAGAAAATTATTAAATCTATACCAACCTTAAATGTTGATTTAAAAAACCTATAAGGAAAATAAATAACAATTACTGATTGCAATTCCATAAGTTTGAAAAAATATTTTTTAAATTGTTCTTACGAATAAACATTATAGGATCAATTGTAGATATATTATCTCATTCTCATGTTTAAACAATACTTTAAAGGTATTTTTCATTCAATAAACAGCATTTTGGTAAAAACAATTATAAAAAAAGAAAAACTGTTGTAGTCAACTGTAACAAAATTTATAGGTTTATAAAATTTTTATGCATTTATAAACTGATTCTCTAATTCGACCTCTCACTAAAATGCTTTTCAATTGCTCGATAATAAAAAAAATCTCTGCTATTTACTGACTCACTGTTTACACCTTTAACTAATCCACTTCTAGTAAAATATCTATGAAATATATACTCTCTTTAAAATAACCATATAAAATAAATTAAAAATGGTTTTTTATAAAATACAATTACAAAAGAACGGATAGTCGTCGTAGTAATTTAAAAATATTAAAAAAATCAGCTGAAATTCAGATGAAAAATTTAAATTATATATTGAGACAAAACAGGAGCATTTTTTACATAAAATATTTAGGTTTATATCAACAAATTCTCATTATATTAAGAAAGGAATTACGCACACGTTCACGGTACAATGTGTGAGGGGGAAAAAAGGAAATACTCTGAATAAATTTTAATTTAATGATCGGATTTAAAAGTACTAGGGTTCAATTTTAATGGTTATAAGGGGGACCTCAAATATGGTAATAAGTTAGTGCAGACGATGTTTTAAGTTACGAAATCAGGCACAAAAACGTATTGCCTCTGAATGGATAGGTAGGTAGACATGGAACCGACCTTCACTCCAGATGGCGTATTCGAGCGTTGCGATCGAGGATATCTAGTCAATGGGAACGACTTTTTTACACATTTAAGCTACAAGCGCATTAAGTGATTTTTGCCAAGGGTTGAGAATTATCTCCATTTTCGGAAATGGAAACCATAGCAACCATTATTATGATAACATACAACATAACGTTATGAATTTTCCACATTATGCTACTTGCAACAATTTAGCTTAAATTAGTCAATCTCTTTTAAAAAAGAGATTTAAATTTTGAATGAAACTATTTTTAGTTTTTTTTTTTGAATTTATATTAAAGGAATGCAACTGTTTCAGGAAATTTAAATACATACAATCTGATTCCACATATCTATTCTTTTATAACTTATTTTACTAACATGATTTCTTCAAAGAACAAGTAAGTTATTCGATAATTATTAATAATTTTCTATATATATATTTAAATAATTTATTGTAAACTAAAACTAATTTACTTATTGCAGTTCTTCAAAATCTAGTCATACTCAGACTGCTGCTCCTCAGAACATTGAAAATTTTTGCCAAGTTCCTAAAAAGCAAGATGCTGAAGTACGAGTTCTAGTGTAGAATAATAAGTCTCTTGGTTTGGTGACAGATTTTTAGTTGTACTATTTTGCCGAAACTCCGTTTCTGGTTATCATGATATTCTTTGATATCACTGCAGTTTTTGTTCATTGTTATGCGATTGGTTTTTAGTTTATCTTCTTACATATTAATTTAATTTCAAATTTTAACCTTCATTATTCCTTCACCATTAGATGCTCGCTTGTTGACTATCTTTGCATCTTATTTCTACAGCCAGGAAAAATAAGTATGTATTTTTTTTTGGAACCAGAGAAAAAAGAGGTAAGTAAGCTATTAGTGACTGGTGTATGTTTGAAGGTATGATTAGTTCTCATTATTTTTGTCCTGTGTGTATGAAATATATGCATTTGGTTGAACAGAAAGAACAAATGGGTGGCTACAAATAAGTTTGTTGTGAGAAAGGTACTCTTCGTTATAAGTGGTCTCTAAGGAATGGTGCTTGCGTTTGAAGAATATGAAATTAATCTGATCGAAATTTTATTGCTTTCGTATTTGTGGCTGTATGAAGCTGGTACAAATATTCTTATGAATGAGATTAATATGAAATGAAGAAAAAGAAACCATGGTTGATTGGTGTAATTTCTGCAGAATTGGATTGGACAGGTGGGATTGAAAAAGCGAGTGGTAAAGTTTTTTTGAGATTATAGAAGATCATACAAAAGAGATTTTGTTGGAAGTTATTACCTGGAAAATATTGTTTGGGGAAAATATCATCTTAGATTGCTGGAAATCCTATGATCGTCTGAAAGATGGTTTTCTGCATCAATTTGTGAATCATTCCTTGAATTTTGTTCACCCCAAGACTGGTACCCATACTAATAGAATTGAAGGCACGTGGAACCAGATAAAGTGAGAATTTCGCAAACAAAATATTCGCTAGTCATCCGCAGAATTTTTCAATTTTGTTCCTGTTTAGGACTTTATGCAATATATAAAAGATATGTACATACTAGACTCCTCTGATGATGATGAAAAGAAATTTTTATGAAATTCACAGATAAGAGCTATTTTCGTTGTTTTGAAAAACAAAATTATAATTTTTTTAAATTATTTTATGTGGATGTTAAATTAAATTCCATATTAAATATTTTAAATATTCATTACGAATATAAAATGTTTTAATGTATATCAGTTGTTTTTTTAAAAAAAAACATAAAAAGGAGAATAAAAATCTATTACTTTTTGGTGCAGCCTTGGCATCAAAAAGCCACCTAGAATGAGAAAACCCCTCTATTGCAAACTATAACTAATTTTTTTGATTCTCATACATATTTAAATACTTTTAACTAATTTAAATAATATTTCATCTTATATTTAGTTTTAAAATAAACCAATATATATGAAAGTGAACCAAGAACCAATAAAATAACAGTGAACAAAAGTTGCGGTAACTCAAAGGTGATGTCATTGAAAGCAAAGAGAACAAATAATTTCAAGTAACCAAAATTTTTTTTAATTAAAATTGAACAAAAATTATCGCCAAACCAAGGGACCTTAAATTCTACACCTTAAAACTAAATTGTTAGAATTAAGGTAGACTATGAAATTATGTATTTTTTATTTGAAAACTTTTTATTTGAACAGTCTATATTTTGCAGTGCCCCATGGATGATCACCAAGCCAGCAATGTTTCATTTATTGCAATTTGCATATCTATTTTGAAATAATTTTGTTATCTTTTACTAATTTTTTTGTAAATATATATTTTTGATAAACTTTTATGTTATGTTATTATATTTATGAATGTTTTGATTATGTTTTATTGCAATATGTTTTCAATGCCATTTTATTTGCCAAGGTGTTGCTTGAAAACACAATTGCTAAAAAATAATATGGCGTCTTATTTTTCTCCTTATTTAACCTTTAAATTATAGTAATATAAAACTTAGATATAATTCTATTAATGTGATTTTAAGTTATTAAAATATGGGAAATATATATGTTTCATACATGATAATTATATACTATTTGTCCAATAAATTATAAAAAATTACTTTTTTTTTTAAATATATTGTAAATTTTTATCAAGACTGCAAGTTATATTTTGTGCTATTTTTTTAAATTATAAATGATTTCCATTGAAATTTTCTATAATTTGCTTTAATGCGTCGTTTACAGGCATGATGATATTTCAAAAAAGAAGAAAAATTAACTTAAAGGAATCTGTTTGAAAAAATTTTTAGAAGACTATTTAATGCATATTAAATTTTTTAACTAACACTATGTTTGTTGAATTGCTGCATAGTGAAAGTAAAAATATTAAGTTTAATGCTATTTAATAACTATTTACAGCAAGTTTTTTTAATAAACTTTTTACAACTCAGTTTATACATCATATCACCAGCAGATCAAAAAGTAAAAACTATAACATTCGAAATATGTTCAAATCATCTTGGAATAATAAAGTGTTATTAACATAAATAACATTAAATTTTTACTTAGCAAAACTATTGATAGAAATAAAAAAAAGATTAGCAAATTTACCGTAGAAAATTGAATAGTAAAATTGATCATAGAAACTGCAATTTCATTTACAAAACTTATAACTTTGCAAAATGTAATAAGTGAATTTTCCTAATAAGCCATATTAAAAAATTCAAATTCTCAAAAACACTATCTGCATTGATTTGTGGATTTAGAGTTCTCTTTGATTAGTTTTTACATATTTTAAGAAGTGCAGAAGAGAAAATTTTCAGCAGTATTTTTATTTTCTAGCATAGTTGGGGAAAAAAAACTAAAATATTAGAATATGAAAAAAAAGAGAAAATTGCAGATCCGAGAAAAAAATTAATGCCTGTAAATATAAGTTCTAGTAATTGCTATTTTTTCATTTATTTCAAATGAGCAGACTTATTTTTACTTATTGTTTTAATTACCTAAATATTGTTAATTTCTTATGTATTTTATTTACATTTTTTAGTTGTTTACGTTTGTTCTATATTTTAAGGGAAATATTTGACATTTTCCATTTATATTTTTTCATATCCTGAAATATATAGGTTCAAACTGATATAAAAGATGTCACTATTGCATATGCTGGATATGAAACAGATTCAATGGTGAAATTCCTCAGGAAAGTTGCTCCTCTTGTCTGTTCTGTGCTAGAAAAAAATATCAAAAGTAAAGCATTTTATCGTTACAAATTATCATCTGACACAACTGATACTACAATATCCTGTTTACATATGCTTTTAAAGTATCCCTCTTCTGAAACGGAGGTAAAAAAGTCATAAAATTACTTGTTAATTTTTTTTTAATGTGTGTATTATTTATAATTTGGTGTAAATTACTTTGGAAGATTTTAAAATTTGGAACAAATCTTTCTTGGAAGTGAAATAACACTTGCACTCATAATAACTTCATTTTAAGAATTGTTTCTTTTTTTAAATTTACTCTGAGGTGAAGAACTGCCCATAAATGATGTCACATTTTTTAATAGTTTTGTCCTCACTTTATCACAAAGTGTTACTTTGAATGTTACTTTTTACTGAGGTTGTTTCAATGGAAAGGGAAATATTTTGCTTGTAATTGTCAATGTATTTTATTTCTTAGAGAAAATAAAGGAGCATTATATACAAAATTGCAAATATTAGATAATTTTCTAGTATTTTTTAAATAAAGTATTTGTTTTTGAGAAAGGCATGAAAAGTTCAAGGTTAAAATTCCTAAAAAATGGTTTAGAAAACAAAACTGGCTCAGGTAAACATGAATAAATATTTTTTAGTGATTCATCATGTTTAAATAAGTCATTTTTCTTCTTCTTTAAAATCGTTTTGAACATGGGTGCGAATCAAGTTCTTCTTTGAAGTTTATCTTCCAAAAGTAAAGAAGTAGTGACTACATTTTTAAAGTAGTTTGTAGTTACTACATAAAAAAAAAGAATGTAGTTAACTACCAAAATAATGTAATTTTTCTGGCCAATGTGTTATCTGAATGTCTCTGTTTATTTACATTAACAATTTTTTCAGTCATATTTTATTTATCTGCATAGCTTAACATAATAAAAAGAAATTCTGTGGAAAACGAATAAGTAGTATTATATGCAGATGAATGTGTTTTAGTATAGGGCATTTTTCAAAATGTTATGTAAATGTATACCTATTTTTAATTCATTTCTTTTCACATTTACTATTAATACTTTCCTAACTTTTCCATAGTTTTGCTGCAGTAACATTTCATGGAATTCTGTTGGAACTGCTCTTGCTGCTTCATATCCTTTGAAACAGATGTTTTTATTTTAAATAAGTTATAATTCTTCTATGTGTTTCTTTCTTATTAAAATCCTTTTTTTTTTCATTCTAGTAAAATGGAAAATCCCAAAATCACATTTTATTGCACTTTTTAAAACTTATTTTTTCACTGTGAAACATAATAAATTGACTCTGTAAATAATTAGGATTATATTTGTAAAACCAAAAGTAGAATCATAGCATGAAGTTATGTATTCATAATTTTAACGAGATAAAGTAATATTTTTATCATTGAGCATGAAATAAAAAATTACTATATTTATTTAAAATGTAGTATAAGTGTATTTTCAATTCAGTATAAATCTAATACTTTTATATTTAATTAAAAATTCTTATATTTTAAACAATAATTATGCTTCAAAACAGTGTTAAATTATGTATATTTGATAACAATAAAATGCATCAATAATTAGATATCAGCATAGAAAAGCATGTAAAGAGTTTCTAAGAGTTTCACTTTAAAATTTTAGATACATTTTATAATTATATTTTCAGTTTTTGGTATGAAATAATAAATAAACGTATTTAGCCATGAAATAATAATAATTTTATTTATTGAAAATGTGATTAAAAAAATCAGATTTGCTTACATATTAGTGTGAATGTCACATTTATGAACTAATTTTGGATTTTAAATTAAAAAGTTATAATTGCTTAAATTTCATAGGTTTGTAAAATTAATTTTACAAACCTGTTGTCTTAATATACCTCTTAATGCTTCTGATCTATTTTTCACTTTAGTATTAGTTTTTTTTCCTTGTTTTAAATTTCAAAGCAGTTTATGTCTAGTTTCAAAGCATTGTATAGTTAAGATTGGTGTTGTTTACCTTTAACAGTAGTTACATATAGTTATTCAAATCACATGAGCTGGTGTGAACATGATTCATGTGTGAATATTTGGAGTTTAAATCGTAAAGACTTTGATCCTAAGAAACCAAACATGTCTCTGGAGACAGATTGCTGCATAACTTGTATTAATTTTCATCCTGAATTGCCTGCTATTATAGTTGCTGGGAAGTTAAATGGTTTGTATTATTATTCACAAATGAAAGGGACCTTTGAACAGGCAGTGCAAAACTGTCTGCTAGCAGTCAATAAGGTATTCAGCGAGTTCTGAAAATCGGTACCTGCTTTAAAATATGGTTCTAAAAAGAATATCACCTTAACTCTATTTTTCATTTCTCCCACCTTTTGAGGACTATTTTTGTTTTAAGGATTGGAAAGCAGAAAATTTAGCAATGCACCTGTGGAATTCCTTATTTTTACTGTGATTATGTGGTATACTTGTATGCTTTAAAAAAATTGTTCATAAATATTTTAGTAATTTAAGTGTGTGATCAAAAATGCTTATTCAATTAGTTTCTTTTAATTATTTTTTTTATCAAAATATAATTAATAATTCTGTATAGAGTACACAACTGTATCTCTTACTTTTTATAATATTATTGTTTCAATTTTTTGACTATTAGATATAAAATCCTACCAAATTTTGAATGTTTACAAATGTATTTCGTGATTTATTGCTAAAATTTTACATTAAACGAATACATTAGTTAAAATTTTCAATTAATATATCTTTTCTCATAGCATTTGGTTATTTTTGTGAACAAAGAATTTTAATAAATCTATTAATAATACATATTTATTATAAGGAAAATAAATTTTGATATTTTGTTATCAACATTTATTATGAAGTAGAAATTTTTTATTTCATAAAAGTAATTTTACTCCATTATGTAGTTTGTTGTTCAAATATGTTTAGATATGTTCTGAAATACGTAATTCATTAAATTCAAATAGTGATAAAATCACTTTTGTTCAATCTTTAAAATTTTTTGTATATTGCATGTTTGTTGGAAGCAGAGAATTGTGTATTTCAAATAGTGGTATGATTTATTTTTATTTGTTGGTTAAGTTCAATTGTTCTTGTAGTATAAAATTGATGCAAATTATTTTTTTTTAAAAATGTGTCTAAAACAATTAAAAATTCAAGTCTCTTTAAAATATGCTTAAATAAAATTTATTTAAAACTTATTGATGCATTCCATTTAATGGTATGAGATTCGTTGCAAAGAAAAACTACAATGATTGGAAAAATAACTGTGAATATTAAGGAATTTGCCTATTAAAGGAATGAAATATTTTTTATGTATAAGATTTTTTTTAATATTATGATCTAATGATATAACTTCATGGCAATTTGATAATAAACAATTTCTTTAATAGTCAAAAACAAAGATGAAACTTTGTATACACATTATTAATACTTGTCTTTTTTTCAGTGATGTGAACACAGTAATATTGAAAATGCTAGTTATGGAATGATCTTAAATTTGAATATTATTCAATTGGGTAATTTTAAGTTTTTCAAACAAACTTGCATAAATAGTAAGAAAATTCATCAAAATGTTTTTTTCTTCATTAATTTAACTATTTAAATTCATTTTAACTAAACATTTAACGATATTAATTTATTAATTTGGCTATTTTTTTGCTTCTCTGCAAAATATTTCTAATTTTAAAGAAATAGTTAGAAAAAAGAATAATTTTATTTATTAGAAGAAATTTGCAATAGTTTGCTCAATTTTTTATTTGTGAAATTACCATTTTTCCTAAAGTTGAATTTGTGAAGGTACTGCTAAACGGTAGTAAATTTACCCTGGACAGACTCCTGATTAAAAATGAGTGTTTTGCAATGCCTTTCATACATTATAAGATGATTAAAAATAAAAAAAATTATAGAATTTTTCAAAAATGACTAATTTTCTAATTAAAAAATCTTTAGGATCTTTATTATTGTGGGATATTTCTAAAGAAGATGATCCTTTATTAAGCTCAACAGAAACAACCACTAGCAATCATCGCGAGCCTATCACAGGGATTCACTGGATTCCTCCTTATGGGAAGCATAATAGATATGAGGTAAATATTACTTGTGCATATTTGTAGTGTATGTATTTCATTAGTAGATACAAAGATACATAATTAATATTGCATTAAATGATAAAAATGTATTTATAATTTTATTCAATGTTGTTATTTATTTTATTTTCAGTTTGTAAGTTGTAGTTTAGATGGAAAAATATTACTTTGGAAGTTTGAAAATGGCACTTTGCAGCCATATGATGGGTGTGTAAATTTGTTTATAAAAATAATGCATAAAATTAATATTCCATAATAATGTTTATTAATACCCGATGAATATGTCATTGAAGCTAGTTTTTTGTATAACAATGCAAGATAAAAAGGATTGAGAAAATTATTTTTTTGAAATATATATTAGGTTAACAAAATTTTAAATCTCTGAATTCACTTAATCAATCTATTAAAGTGCAGATTTTAAGAATTTGATTGTAAACTAAAAAAAAAAAATATTGTCTGTATATTAATTCTAATTCATATCACATTTCTTTAAAAATATTACCTAATTTATTTAATGCAAATATATAATCAGGGGTCAATTCAGGAATTTTTACCAGGGTTTTGTTTTTGTGAAAAACACTTATTAATTTGGTGAAAATTAATTTTGTCAAACACTAAACATTGCGGACTGGAATGCAGAATTTCTTGCTTCGCCTCGGTCGCTCTGGACGAAAAGGTTCTTTCCATCCATTTTTCACCGTTTGCAATGTNTGGAAACATATATTTTTTTTCAAAAACCACTTATGTAAGACTATCTGTAGAACATGAAGTGTTTTAATGTTTTCTCTTTTCTTTATTTTTAAATTTAGGAACTTAATTTGTCGCAAAATATGATCCAGGGAAAATAAAATTTCTTTAAAGATATTGGAACTAAAAAATTGTATTGATCTTTTAAAAAGATTTCATTTAAATAAAATACCTATTGTACCTATAACATACCTTTTATATATACACAATAAATTTTTGAGTAGTGGGAACTTAATGTATTTTCGACTTCTAATATTTAATATTGTTCTAAGTTATCAAAGTTTTATTGTAAATATCAAGCTAGACATAGCATATTTTGTCGTATTGCACATAGATATAGTCATTAGGTAAATCATATTTTGAATATCCGATATGGATAACATAGTATTGAAAAAAATTAATAAAAATTTAACCTTATAATTAGGATGCATCTTTATGTATGTAGTAGTGCAATATATTACATTTAATTGTTGCAAATTGAATTGAATATTTGTTACAGCTTTATTATTTTAGCAAAGCAATTGCCGAGAAATTTCCAGATTAAGGCTCGCCTAAGCAATGCAGAAGTTGGAAGTAAGTAAAAAAAATATTTTAATTTCTTTAATCAGTTAATTAAAAAAGATTTATTTGTATGTATGTAATATTTTTTTCAGTAACTTCTTTGTCAATTAATGTTGAAGATAGTTCTATTTTTATTATTGGAATTGAAGGTGGAGGCATATTTCAGTGTTCATTTGAATCAAAAGTACCTACTTTATGTAAGTATTCTTTATGATAGATTAAAGTATTCTTAATCTAATATTAAAAAAATGATAATTCACTAATTCATTTGAAGATCACTATGAAAGTTCTAGAAAAGTTAGTTTTGTTTCTTAATGTTTTGTATTAATTCCCATAACAGTCAATAAAATTGAACAACTTCTGCATTTTAACTTATAAAATTTTAAGATTATGTTAGAAAGATTATTTTTTTTACTATTTACTTACTTGCATTTTGAAACCAATCAGTATGTAAAGTTGCTACACGGATAAAACAGTTCTATTAGGCAATATTATTTCTGGGGAAAGAATACAAGTGTTTTACCTTATAACTTAAATGTAAAGAAATTAGTGATAATTGTTAATGCTCTTATACAAAAAATACAATATTATGATGAAAATATAGATATAACCAAGTTTTTTGATTATAAATTTTTTTGACATGTTAGTGACTTAACATTGAAAAATTATTTGGTGATTTATTTTTAGATTCTGGTGCAAGTTCTGTATCCTTGAAAAATCCCATAAATATGGGATTTGAGAGACATAAAGGTCAAGTTACTACAGTACAATTTTCTCCATATTCAAGAAATATTTTTTTGAGTGCAGGAAGTGATGGAGAACTTAGAATATACAGTCTGTTGCAGGTGATATTATTTATGAATTTTTAAAAATTGTTTTAAATTTATTTTAAATCCTCCTATTGTCATTTTTGTTAAATTATAGCAGACTTGGTCTCAAGAAAATGTATTTTTGTTACAAGAATAAAAGTTTCAATTGAGATAAGATTATTAATCAATCTTGATAAAAATTATGAGTAAAACAATTATGATCATTCATAAATTATTTACAGTGAATCAAAAATAAACTTAAATTCTAATTATAATTGCATGTATGGTAAAACGATTGCTCTAAACAACTCTTAACATTATACAAATGGCATTTCAAACTACTAAAAAATTACTAAAATTGATGCTTTGAATTTCTCCAGGGCTAATGAAAATTGCTGTCTTAAAACTGCAAATATGCAAAATTATATCATTGTATTCTCCAAAAGTTGTTTCTTTTTATGTATATTGCACACAAAGAGCTGAATAGATAAAGGTTTGAAGTAAAAAATGTATTGAATTTAAGTAAATTAGCTTTAAATTAGTTATAATTTCTGTTTTAGTCCCGTTTTGTGGACTAGGAACTAAATATTTGTTTTTTTTTTGTGAGGAAGTTTCTCATTGGAATATTTATTAATCCTTATGAGTTTTAAAACATTTTTTTAAGGGAATAAAGTTTCCACCCAAAGTGAAATAATTTCTTCTGATATCTTAAATAAAATAGTTTTTAGAAATTTCTATCATAACTAATTCAAATCTTAAAGTTATAAGTTATTCTTGTCACAACAAAGATTTTTAGGCTTTTTAATATTAAAAAAAAATAATTGATTCAAAAATTTACTCATTGAACCATGATTTTGTTAAATCAGGAGTGGAAACAAATGAGTTTGACAGCGTATACATTATTTCTTTACAAATAAAAATGCAGTGATTTTACTTTTAGTCATTTTTGAAATAAGTTACTGTTAGTATATACTAACAGTAAAGTACTCTTAGTATTTGTATTGTCCATAAAATTCTGCTCTAGCAATAAAGTGTTTAAATGTTACTTTCAGCCTAAGCCATTGTTAATCTTGCAACAGCCCTCTGGTGGAATAAATGGGGCTCAATGGTCAACTGTCAGGCCTTTAGTAATATATTGTATTTGCAACAACGGTCAACTTCATATTTGGGACTTGGTTTCGAATGAGCGATCCCCTACTGAATCATGCTTACTAACATTAAGTAATGATTCAGGAATATCTTTAGGGAATAATAAGGAAAAGTAAGCTTTTTTTATTTTTTAAAGATATTGTGTATAGATAAAATGTATATCCAGTTTAATGCAGTAACAATATTACATTTTAAAAACATTCAAAGGTAAGTTTTTAAAATTTTTAATATACATTGCAACAAAAGTTTGAATGTTTATTCAGTTAGATCGGTTTAGTGAAGCCATTCATTAACTATCATTTTAAAAGTTTGACTTTCGTTGTTGTTTTGACTAAAGTAGGAACAGTATTTTTAAACAGTTACATAGACTTTTAGCTTGCTTGTTTTTGCATTGCCACAGCTAAAAAGTATATAATTATGTAAAAAAAATGCACTGCTGTCTTAAAAATTATGTCTAGTTAGCAAATTTTGAAAAATTATAACTGAAAATTTTAGAAATGAAGGATTGTAAAAGTTTTACATTCATACAAATTATAGGGTCACAACTACAAATTATAAGGTCAGGTAGGGTAAAGTGGGTATAAAATCAAGCTTTCTTTAAAGAAGACCAGAAGACTCTAAAATCAAACCATTAAATTTATTTTACTGAAAATTTTGATGCATTTTATATACATTGTATTGATATAAATTTAATATGAGGCATAACTTATCTATTTTGTTTGATTGTTATCTGACAGTAATGGATTCAACAGGACATGCTTTGATATACCCAATTTAACTCAGAGTGGGGTAAAGTGGGTATAGTTCTAAAATTACTGTGAATCTAAAATTAGTTTGTAAGCAAACCAGTTTGAAATTTTTTTTATCAGTTTCTAAAACTGAAATAAAAATGCTTGCCGGAATCCCAGTAAATGTCTCTAAAAATATTAAATAAATTATCAACAACTTAAGAGAAGAAAATAGATGTTTAACATATACCCATTTCACCCCATCTGACCCCACTCAAAATGTAATAATTTCAATGATTGTTTCGTTACAAATAATAGAGATTATGAAAATTTTAAAATTTCATAACACATTTTTTTATGAGCTCATCTTTTTACCCCATGGACTTAATGTTATAAAAATTGCAGCTATATTTTGAGAGAAATAATTGTGTAACTGATTATTTAACCTCATCCAATAAAAGCTAAGATTCAATTGTGCCAAATTGTTATTCAAAAACAAGAATTTTAAATTACAAAAATAATTTCCTTTGAACAACACTTTTTATCCAATTTTATATTTACTTAATGTGAAAAATTCTAAACCACAGTCGAACCCCGCTATAGTGAACCTGGGATATAGTGAACACTCGGATGTAGTAAACTTTTTTTAGCGGTCCCGTCTGTATTCCTATTTAAATAATGTGTTTTTTAACGCTTATAGTGAACAGCTTAGAACTTGAAACAGGGTTCATGCTCTACTATAAAAATAAAATTCAAGTACTTTTCAAGGACTTTTTAAGACTTATTATAAAATTCTCAAGGACTTAAATTTTAGTTAAAGATAGACTAAAATTTAACATTTTAAACTAAAATGTTTTGACGATAAATGTTAGTCGATAATAGCAGTACTGAAAAATAAGACTTCCATTGCTCTCTCTTGATTTCGGAAAGTGATCTAAGTATATATATATAAAAAAAAATATTAAAAAAAACAAGGGTGATTGGCATCAAGTCGAGAATAAAATTCATGATGCATAAAAACGTAAGGTTTGAATTTTGCATTAAGGCTTATTTTAAGCTAGGTATACAAAGTCTGAATAAGCAAAGATTCGGGCAGAAGACGGGGTAGGAGGGAATGTTCTATATAATATCAATTAGATATTTAAAAACAACTCTGCCGGGAGACTTTTATTTAATATTTAAAGTGGCAGAAGCATTTAGACAGTGAAATTTAAATTGTTCTTAAATACAATTTTGAAATTTCGACCACTTTTCTATTTAAGAAAATTAACCAATTATTTGATGTTGCGGCTTGATTATCATTTTAAATTTAGTACCAGTCAACCATTTTAAATTGAAACAGTTGCCAACTTTCACCTCAATACCTTCTGATAGATTCTTAGTAACAATTTTGGTCACTGACTTTTTTAATTAACCACTCATACTTGAATTAACTTTTTTTCAGCAGCATCGATCATACGCACTTGACATGGTCACGTGAATATGAATTGCAATGAGTAGTTTTCAAATCGAGTATAAATACGAAAATCGATGTTTGATATCGCNACGTAATTACTTTTTCCATCAATTTTTGCTTTATTATCTGTTAATTAGTTAATAATTTTTTAAATAACTTATGCAAAATTGCAAAGCCAATTTTCAATCATTCAACTGTCTTATGCAAAAAATATTCTTCAAAAAATTTGGATATAGTGAACCATCGGTTATAGTGGACACATTACTGAGTCCGCAGACGGTTCACTATAGCGGGGTTTGACTGTATTTAAATCAAGGCTGTTTTTCATTAAAAAAAGTAACTTTAATTTTATTCTAATGAGAGAGGAATTTTTAAAACATTGTTTGTTATTGCACATACAATGTTTTTTTAAATCTAATAAATTAACTAATTACTTAAAATCTAATGTTATTTCGTTACTCTGTGTAAAAATTTTTAATTCATTTTTAGCCCAGGTTTATTAGCTACTTGCTGCTCTAATGGGACTGTGCAAGTTTGGGAAATATCAGGAGCTGCATTAGTTGCAGAGTCAAGTGAAGTTACACAGTTACAAGCACTTTCAAAAACTATTGAATAAATATATATTTTAATTTGAAAGCTTTTTATTTCTTAAGAATAAATAAAATTTAACAATGGTTTAACAGGCAAGTACATTAACAATCCAAATAAATATACATTTTGTCAATTACTTTGTATACCATGAGGTTTCACAAATGATTCAATTTCATCTAATTTACATAATAACTTAACTTCCAATTCTTGAAATCTTTTGCTTATACCTTGTATTTGCTCATTTATGTAAGTTTTTAAGTTTTCTTCCATGTTCATGTAATTTTCTTCTGTTTGTGTGGCAGTATTTTGTCTGAAATATATTAGAAAAATATTTAATTTCCAAAGAAAATTTTTTGTACTGTTTCATTAAAATAAATTGAATAAAGCTATTTTAATTCAATGCTTCTTTATTTATTTTACATACCCTTATAGGAACCTAGATCCTGTAAAAAGGAAATAACAAAGTATTGTGCTTTTAAAATTTATTTTGATGGTTATGAGTTAAAAAATATAATTTATATAATTAAAAAAAAATATATAAAATCATTTCATATATGTATCAGCCTTTTTTAGAGAATATTTTATGAAATTTTTGTTGAAAAGAATAAAACAAAAATGGATTTAAAAAATAGATTTAAGTTTTTAAAAATAATAATTAAAAATAATAACTAACTTATTGAATATAGGGTCACCTGGGGTAATTCCTGATCAAAAATTACAAACAACTATTTTGTGAAAAAACTATTCAAGATAACATTTTAATATTTACAGGAAGTTTGATGCTATGTGCTACCTTCTTTTGTTTGAAAATCAAATTAGAATTTAAGAGAATTTAAATTTTTAGTGATCAGGAATTACCCCTTCTCTTGATCATTTCTAGGGTAATTCCTGATCACTTCTGGGGTAATTACTGATCACCAGTTTTTGTAGTAAAGGGGCTTTTTAAAAATAATTATACAATGGTAATTAACAAATAAGATATCAAGATCAAACAAATAAACCAAAGAGATATGTTTAAGCAGCTAACAAAACGATTTATTTAAAAGCAAGAATAAAGATTAACACTTTAAATTTTCCAAAAATCTTTGCATTGTGCCATGCATTTTAGGCAAGCAGCCAACTCATTCTCATGTTCTGCTGGAATATAAGAAAGAGTCAGGGATGAATCCAGAAATTTTTCCTTGGGGCTGGGGTTCATAGACTCAGATCCCCCCCCCCAGGAAATTTTTTTTTAATAAAAACATTTTTAAATATTTAAAAAAAAAAGAGGTTTTTAGAAAAAAAGAGGCTTCTCATTTATTTTTTTCATAATGAACAATAGAAAAATACATAAATAATTCAAGTATTCAAAATCTTTAAATAATAAATGTAATGCGGTTTTTAGAAACTTTGGCAAATCTGTCAATGATTTTTTCAACATCCAAACCAATTTCTTGATGAATGTTTAATAATGCAATTCCATTTAATAGTTCTTGATTTTGAGTTGCTCTAAAAGCCAAGTTTTGAGACGTCGTTATTATTAATGTCAACATTATTAATCTTTACAATAAAACTATGACAAATTTCATTTTAATCTTGGATTATGATTCTTGAAACAGTGAAGAACATAATTAGATGGAAAAAAAATCGATTTTTCCGACCTACCTAGGCGTATATGCCCCCTTAAATCATTTTTAAAATATTTTATTTTCAATATATTATTTATCATTATTAATGTTTACAATGAAACTATGACGAATTTTGTTTTAATCTTTTGGATTATGATTCTTGAAACAGCGAAGAACATAGTTAGATGGAAAAAAAATCGATTTTTCTGACCTATCTAGGTGTATATGCCCCCTTAAATAATTTTTAAAATATTTTATTTCTTTTGTAAACTATTAAAAAAATTATTTTTATTTTCAATTTGGGGGGGGGGGNTTGGGGGGGGGGGGGCTCTATGAGACGAGACTACAAAAGGGGAAACACATTTTGTAAGGACGTCATGCTCATATGAATGTAGATACGAGTTGTTTTACACAGATCTAGGAAATTTTATACTATTGAGGTTTAAGTTAACAAGAATTATTAAGTTTACAAAAGTTACATTTTTAATAAGTTTAACTGGAAATTTCCTCCCTAATAAAAAAATTAAGTTTTTCAAAATTTATATTTTTGATATATATTAAATTTACATTGAAAATATTTTATTTAAACCATTCAAGTTTTTTAGTAGCCTGGTAGCGATCAGAAATTCTCTACCTTGATATAGAATAATAATTATTTCAAAGCACTTTTCTATTAATATTAATTTTTATTTTTAGTTGAAGATCAAGTAAGGTTTAAATTCATATATACATTTTATTTTTATAAAAGTTAAAACGAAAATAAATGTTCATTCATTAAATTTTTATGAATTAGGCATTAATTTTTAAAATTGCTACTATATGCTTTAAACAAGTCTAAAAATAAGTTATTATTGAGGTTTAAAGTAACATTATTGAGTAACATAAATTATTTTATCTTAAATGTTTTAATTTAATAAATTTAGATTTCACTTTCAATTCAGCCTCTATTATTTCTTTTATTTTCTTATTCTTTTTTATTTATTTGGAGAACACCATTGATATTAAAAGAAAATCAAGCAAAGGGGGGATAAAGGAATAGAAGTTTCTCGAGAAAGAGGAAGTGAAACATTTTTATTTTACTATTAGAATAATGTTTATATCTGTATTAAGAAAGCGGTTGTGATGCAGTGTGAGAAATAAAATCTTTGTTGTGCTTGAGATATAAATAAGCACTAGTGATATATTCTGTGCGTTCCAGCGTTTGTGCTGAAGCATTTAGTTCAACTTAATATTTGTTTTTGTGTTTTGAAAATGTTTGTACATTAAAAACTGCTTAAGACATTTTCTATGAGGAAAAAGGAAAAACTTCATAAACAGTAAAATTTTTCAAGCAGATATATTAAAATTATTATTATTCTTTTAATAAATGTAATCATAAATGTATGTTATTAGACTGATATACAGAAGTTCTTGTTTAGGTTACAATATAAATATTGAGTCACATTTATTGAAATTAGAGGTGCCAGATAGCAGAAAACGTATACTTATAGAAAACTTGTTTCTTGTTAAACAAAACTATTACAGTATCTCGTTTCCCTATCACTGTTTTGATGACTCATTGTTTTATCTATATCTACATTGTCTATATCGTCTATTATTGTTTTGATGACTCATTCTCTCAACCATTTCTCATGACACATTTTTCTAAAACAGGTGTAACAACTAAAAGAGTCACCACACTACTATCAACAATTATATAGTTTTCTGGTAGTTTTTCGGGTAGAAAGAAAAACTTGCCGTCTTAGAAAATCTTTTTACCAAGAAAAAGTAAAGAAAACATTTCTTAAAAGAGTTAGTTTTGTAGTGTAGAAATAGGATACAAAATGGTAACAAGAATATAAATTACTTAACCCACTGACGATTCTGCATGTAAAAAGTCATATTTTAACCTGCAGTCTTCACCGCATAGCAAAACTGTTTTTTTTTTATGTTATTAGATAGGGATATAGTGTATCGGGGAGAAATATCCTCCGAATCTTGCCCTTTTGCTAAACTGCCAGTGGGTTAAACAGGAAGACTTTTAAAACAAGTTTAATTGCAATATGAATTAAGAAATAAAGTGTTGTGGGCTCTCTAATCCTTAAAAGAGAAATCAATTATACAATATAACTCCCAAGAATCAAAATAAATCGGTATTTTTCCATTATAAGCAAATCTCGCCAAGCAGACTTTTTGGTGACGGCACATAGTCGCCGGAACAAATCACACAAAGCAGATATTATTGGCTACAACACACAGCATACACATAAAAAAACAGTTAATAAAATGTTAAAAATTTTATTTATACTTCAGAGGCATAAACATGTTAATATCGCTTAAAATTTTTTCAAATGGGGCTTCGAGATGATGGTGTGCCATTCCTCTGTGTTTCTCCATTTCGCTTTGCCCCTCAGTCTCTCTATTTTTTGCGTGTGCGTTCCCGTTTCCGGATCGACAAAGTTGTACTTATGGTTAACTTTAAAATGTTCGAAACTTTCATCTTCCAGCTTACTAGTGCGGTATGATTTCCACGAATTGGAACATATAAAAGTTTCTTTTGCCTTAATTGCCTTGAAAGTGTTGGAGGATCGGTTTGGTACCTCCACAAGGTGCGTTTTCCTGCAAACTCTACCGAAGATCCATTGTTGTGGTAGAATCCATCCCACATTGTTTTTTCGTTTCGTAACCAAACTTTCGTCCACTTTGACGATCATGCCAGGTCCTCCTGTTTTCCGTTGCTTACGTTTAAGAAAAGAATTCACACAAACCTCAAGCATGAAGTTATTCCAGTCTACAACTGTTCCGTGACTGACTTCCAACTGCTTTTCACACCATTTAGCTGAAGCTAATTCTTCGTTGCAACAATAAATAAACCACACAAAAAGCTCTTTTTTGATGACTGAAACCATGTGCCTTTACGGATACTTCTTTTACAGCGACAAGTTGAAAGGTTGCAGCATCTTTGAATTTCATATCCGATATACAATTTCATTTCATGATTCTTATCACAAGTTGCGACTTTATCCAAAACGCCTTTCTCTTCCTCTGTTTTGGGCAAATCCCAAATTCTCATTGTTTTCTGCGTTAATTTTTCATATTAAGAAAAAAACGTGACCGATAAATAAAAAAATGGCCGCGACTTACTTTGAAAATGTGGAGACAAAAGGTTACCAGCGGCGATATTCAGTTAGGAATAGGTTGCATCATTATTGCATCATTTATCGCCTGGGCCGGCATAATGGAAAAGTATTAATAAATCATATATCGAAATGCACTAGTGCATATTTAAGCAACATGTATTCTAAATTGTAAATTCTACAGATACATTTTCACAGAATGAAGTAACAAAAAATGAAATTAGACATAGAAAAACGTAAATAAAGTATATTCAACACAATTTTAAAAAAACAAACACACATATATGTTATTTAAGCTATTAATTGCTCAATAGGTAGTTAAATGCAAAGAACGAATTAAATTGTAGAAACTTACGTTTGTGTCATCATCACAGGTGATGTAGCAGAAGATGCAAATGTTTTTAGTTCTTCAGTTTTATTTAGTTCATTTGTGGTAAGAGATGCTTGAGTAGACTCTTTCTCAAGTATGTGCACTTTCCCTTCTGAGTTTATAATATTAGCATTTTGCACTTCATTGTTGTTTGCCATTTCAAGTCCTGGATTAAGTACATATGTTGGCAGATTATTAAGAACAGATGTAATAGCTGCTCCTTGTGGTAAGGATGAGGCAAGTCCCATTTTAAGAAAATTATCCGCAAATCTTTTTAAGGCTTCTTTGTCACCTAATGTGTCACCCATTTCTGCAAATCTCTGTGAGAGAGATGAGAAAGGTAATGAAGATGCTTGATTTAGAGGGCTGTGAGACATCTTGTCAGTATGTATTTTGACTCCAAATAACCACATTTCATTTTGCGATTCTAGATTTACAAACTAAATAAAACAAACAAACAATATTACTTAATATGTCACAATACAGTCTAGAAAAATTAAAAAATTAACAGCATTACAAATGGTAAAGTATGATAACTCTGATAGAAATTACTCAGGCATTCCCCTTTTTTTTCGTTTTAGTCAATGATGCAACTAATTTAGCATTTATTTGCAACAAAATTTGCTATAAAAATTATTGAAGGCAGACATAACTGAATGCTCAACAAGACAATTTACGATTCAACTTCACTATTTTCATAAATTATGATGGGGCTGTCACTTTTTAAATAAAATATTTTTCCAAAACTTGATTGATTTTTTGAATTAGTTTCAATTAGAAATGTCAAATTCAGTTTTTTTCTTAGAAATAACTTTCCACTGTAAGTAAAAAAAAAAAAAAAAAAAACATATCTTATTGAACTAAGTTTAAAAAAAATTCATAATTTAAGCAGTACTCTTAAAAATTTGCAATTATTTTAGACTAAAAAGAAATGGTTAAGGAAAAAAATATTTACATAATGAATTAAAATTGGTATAAATTTTTAATATAGATTTTATTTGAGTATGATTTTATTTTTGTGTATTTATCTATGATATATAACCTTCATTTCTGTATATTTATATAATAGAAAAAAAAGGTACACTTTAGTGATGTACAATGAAATCACACAGTAAATAACTCATAATAATGAATTTAATCATTTGTCTAAAGCTTTTAGGAAATGTTTTGCAATATCCCGCTTCACTTGAAAGCTTGTCATGAATAACTTTTCTCACCTATGTAAAATTCGTGTTTAAAAAATGAAAAACAAAAAATAAATTATAAAAATGTAGAATGCCACCTTAAAGGGATTTAAATTAGTTTTCTTAGTTGAAAATTACTGTCTATATTTAGTTAAAAGACTGCTCTAGAGTGTGGTATTTATTCATAGAAGATTGCCAGAGAAAAAAAAAACACTTTTAAATATTATAGAACCAATGGTAGTTATGACACCCATGTTGCACAAATAACATTAACAAACATACACGTAATGATTAATACAATATTACCTTAACAGAACAAACGGATAGTGGTTTATCTAAAACTACATCCCCACGATAGACAAACAAATTTTCAGTCTCTTCCAAAGGACTGTTGAATACAGTTTTCAAATATTCTCCATGATGACCATAAATCTCCAGCACCCTTGCTTCACATATAGCAGAAATACGAGTGATTTGGTTGGGTGGTTCACAAGAAATGAGTAGCTGACAGGCTGGAACAGTTGGGTACAATCCTTCACATTTATCCGGTGCTTTTAGAAAAACACAGTTCTCCACATTGATTTCATCTTCCAAGTCTGAACTGAAAAGTTAAAACATTTCTTTAAAAACATATTAGCATGTAAATATAAATTGTACAGACATTTTTTGAAAAAGTCCATAATATAAGATTAAATTGTTCAGGCACCATGACGTCTTAATAGGGCGCCATACCTCAGGAGAAATTTTTCGTCACAAATTTTCTTTCACATTAATAACTAACTTAAAGAGTAGAAAAAGTGAGCTCAGACAAACTTAGAATAAGCCATGAAGTTTCAAGTACTGAAATAAAGTCAAAATAAAAACAAACAAACATCAAAATGAAAATAAATTATGAGAAGATAACTTAGGATTATGCAATGGAGAAGTTCTCTTCCAATAATTTGTTTGCATTTTGATTTTTAAATTTTTTTTCTCCAGCAATTGAAACTTCATGGCTTAACTCTTAGTTTGCCTGAACTCACTTTTTTTTCTTCTTTAAAATTAGTAATGGAAGTAAAAGTGAACTTGTGATGAAAAGTTTCGAAAAGCTGATGTTTTCAATTCTCCCGTGGTATAGCATCCTCTTGAAAGGAGTAGCCATCACACAATATTTTAACCTCCATATTTAGACAAATCTTAATATTTCTGTAATGACAAAAAACAACAGCTTGTTAACTTGAATGTTGTCATCGTTTGCACCGGGTTACACCTAATGTTCTGCTTGTTACATTTATATAAAAGGTTTTAATATAAAAAAGTGATGTAGCCTGAAGAAATGTACATGAGCCATCGAGAATTGTTTACTTGCTGCAGTTGCGCTAATAAGAAAGAATAACAAAGTTTAGGGAATGCAACAATTTTTTGATGATAGCCAACTATGGATCAAAAATTCTAATGAGGCTTTCCCAAATCTCATGAAAATGTTTACACATATGTCAGCATCTGTAGATTTATTTTGTCCAACGAAATGAAAAAATTTTATTACATTATCATCATCTGCTTGATTACCTAATTATTTTTTTATATATTTTTTTCTGATTTCTGTATTGTGTTTAATATGTTTGTACCTTCCCATCTTGAGTAGAGCTACTTAAATTTAAACAATACCCACCTTTTTTTTAAAATTGCCCCTAAACTTGTTTCATATCAAAGTTATAACACTGAATTAATAGAACATATGGAACAAAAAGTTAAAATTTGTTTTTTAACTTGACTACTTACTTTTACAGCATAGGAATTTATTCTATTTTTTTGAAGCATCATTTTATAAAATTTCAATTAAATTTAAACAACAAAGTTTTTGCATACAATATTTAAATATCCTATGTTTGCAACTTTGTCTAATTGCTTTGGGGTTGCCGACACATTTGGCATTACGAAGAGAGTTCTGCGTATTAACTTTGTTATTTCGGCAACCAGGTATTTATGTTGATAATTTTTTTTTAGGTTAGTTTTTTAAAAAAAAAAAATGATGCACAGAGATTATCTGAGAGCATGCCTTCACACATGTTTATAAACTAGAAATTTTTCTCTTAGTTTGATAATGAGAGAGAATTATTTATACACATAATATATTTTAAGAGGGTAATTTAAAAATTATTGAGGATCAAATTCAGTTATTACAAAATATTATAAATTTTGATGGCATTAAATGAGCGTCCTTTTAAAACTCTAAATTGTCTTTTTCTGACAGGAAGTGGCCTGCCTTTTTTTTATTCCTAGGAAGAACTCTGAAATGATCAATATCAAAACATGACCTAGGAAAAATTTTGGGCTGCATCACTAGTGTTACTTAAAATTTTTTTTAAAAAAATTAAGCATTTTAAATGAAGCTAGATAACTCTTCATTTAAAGTTCTCTTGGCTTTCATTGCAAATAAATAATATGCAGATAAAATAATAGAAAAAAAGGATTAGTATGAAATTTGTAAACACAAACAAATGATTTCATATGCAGGGTCATGTACAAAAGGAATTTTGCATAAACTTTTTCATGAAATAAAGAACAATTTCACAGAAAATTATCTAGATCCCATTTTCCAACTTCATCTGTTATTCTTGAGTATAACAAATTCGGTTTCTATTTAAATATTAACAGAGACAAATGCATCATGATGAACATAAAATTTTCTCTAAATTACTTAAAACTAAAATGCAGAACTTCAGAAATGCAGAATTAACTGTTACCTAAAAAAATGAGAAAGTAATTAAAATCCGTTTCAATGACATTAAACGTAACAGAAATATACTTTTTATTAAATGTATAGTTATTAAAAACTACTCTAGTTAGAGACTTAAGCAACTCCTTTATGCTTTTTTTTTTATCATACTATCATGTTCTTGTGATTCATAAAAATTACAGAATCAGTTCTTAAAATCGAGAATTGCATGAAATGTTGAAATTAATAATATAAATACTAAATTGAAACTAATAATATTCTTAATAATTAGAAATAAGAAACAATTTAAGCTTAAAATGTGTCTTTTTACCACAATAATTCTAGATTACTAATTTCTTAACATTAAATTTATAAAATGAAAACAAAACTTAAGTTCAATTTATTTAACTAAACAAATTAAAATTTCTTTAGAACTAATGCATATATATTCGGTCATGGATTAAATAATTTTTTGCTCAAATAAATAATTAATTACTCATCAGTTTCTCGACTGTAAAATATCGCATCTGATATTGGTCTGTCATCCGAGACTTTCCAACTGCATTGAAAATTCATTTCGTAAAAATTAGTTGTTTAAAATAAAAATGAGAAGATCTAAGAATAAAAGGTAAATAAATAAAAGTTTTGGAACTGAAAGTTCTTAAATTACAGACAGCTATTTTTATTTCGCTCATTAGCGGTATGAGTAAGTTTAACATTTTCGGCGTGTTAAATAAATTTGCTTATAGCTTGTATATTAAATTTTATTGAACATTCTTACTGGTGTTGCAAGAATCGGATGCAGTGTTTTTTATAAATGGCCATTTTCATTAAGTGAAAAAAATCGCATAGTGAATTGTGATTTGTCAGTGACTTGAGTCTGATTTGTGCTTATTTTTCGTATGCAGAAGAAATCACAAGCAGAATGGTCTTAAGGAGCATTCTCATCGAATGCAGTTGCCTCACCTCCGAGTGCCGTTAAAGAGAAGGTTAATAGGTATTCGCGATCGCAACACTCGAATACGCCATCTGGGGAGAGACCGGTTTCATGCCTTTAGCCCTTCTCCCTTCCCTCTCTTCCTCTTTTCAGTTATATAGGAATGTACTACGATATTTTCCCTTTTCTTAATATTTTTCCTTTTTACTTAATAAAAATATTTTCTAAAATTTCCGTGATACTTTTCTTTAGAACTATGTTTAATGTAGTTTTCAGTTCCATATAGTTTTCAAAGTTAAAAGATTTTAATCTATATGAAAATCAAGAGAGAAACTAACGTACTTCCTTCCTCTATGACTTTCCACACGCTAATGGGGAACGCATGTGAAGTGTTGCCATAGGAAAAGAGTTCTGCTCTACGCCACCTGCATCCCATTTCGATCGCCAATTATTATTTTGGTTGCTGTTGTTGTTCATTTACGTCGCACTAGAGCTGCACAATGGGCTATTGGCGACGGTCTGGGAATCATCCCAGAGGATGATCCGAAGACATGCCATCACAATTTAGATCCTCTGCAGAGGGGATGGCACCCCCGCTTCGGTAGCCCGACGATCTGCACGCGAAGTCGAGCACTTTACGGTAGAACAGTTTAACGAGGACACCGCACACCCTAGGTCCCTACGCAGGCTGATCCAAGTGGTCACCCACCCGCACACTGACCGTAGCCAGTGATGCTTGACTTCGGTGATCTGCAGAGAACCGTGTCTTAACGATCAGTCCACTGCGGGACTTATTATTTTGGTACTCGCCACCGATGCTCTTAGTTTGGATAACATTTGCGACTTTATTCATAAATTTGTTTCACTGCGAGATTTGTTTGAAACCAGTTACATATAACAAAACGAATGTCATATTTTCAGGTAGGTATTTAATTTACGTAGTACTGGAACTGCACAATGGGCCATTGGCGACGGTCTGGGAAACATCCCAGAGAATGATCCGAAGAATTTTGATCCTCTGCAGAGGTGATGTCTCCTTCTCTTTGGTAGCCCAACAACGTACGCGCGATCCGATTTTTAGAAAATTCTAGGACATGAATAAAGCTAAACAATTTGAAAAGAGCACAAATAATGTCCCGTAAAATGACACACAATCGTCTTTGTTCAGTAAATAAGAACTTCTTTAATGTTGAAACACTCAATGAAAGAGGGAAACAAGGAGATATAGAAGATATAACAAACAAGCTCTAACAAGGAAATTAAAACAATATTTTAAAACAATTGGAAAGAATGGAATGCTCAATAACTCATTACCTAAGTTATTTAAAATTTTTCAAAATGTAAAAAATGAAAACCAGATATCTAGATCAGTGTCAGAGGAAATGATTTCAATAGAAGACAAACCACACATACGATTTGAAGTTCAGTTATGTTAGGTAAAGGAAGATTGTTTAGTATCTTGATTTTGAGCACCAGGGCATACCTAGGAATATTTACAGACGGTTGTAAGAAATTAATGCAGATCAAAAATCGTTTAAATAAAATTTTAAGGGGCGCTGAAATAGTAATTTTCAAAAATATAAAAATGAATACCAGATACTTTTGGAAAAGAAATTCAACTATTTATTTCATTTTTTAAAAATTTTAAATAATTATTTTTATTTTATTTAATTATTGTCATTTTATAAATTTTTTAAATTTAGTTTAACTTTTTATTTTGTTTATTTTTTAATTAAATTTTTATTGTAATAAATTTGTATGCGTTTTTAAAATTAATGAAATGAAGGAAAAAAAAGTAAGTGGAGGTCTACATTTTTTGGAGACTTTTCGCTTCGACAGGCAAACTGAAAAGTACCAATATTTTTAGAATCTAAAAAATTCTGATTTTTAGGGTTTTATGAAGTGTTATGTTTCTAAGCGATTAATTTTAAACATTGATTGTATGATTTTATCAGTTGGATGCTTTACCATTCTTTTTATACTTTTTTATACCTTGAGTTTTAAAATTAACTACACGTATTTTTCTAAAAATATTATGTGTAAAAACATTATATAAAAAATATTTAAAAAAAAATAGAATTTTGTCCGAAACTGTGCAAATTGAGAGCAAAAGTGGTGCTATAATCGCATGAAAAACCTATACTCGTGTTGTAATCCTACAAAAATTGGTGTTTTAATCTGACTTAAATTATATTTTACGTATGGTGATTATTGCGACACTTTTGTTCTCAATTTACCCAGTTTCAGACAAAGTTATATTTTTTAAAAAACGTTTTATATATAATTCTTTTACACATACTATTTTTTGGAAAAATACGTGTAGTTAATTTTAAAACCCAAGGTATAAAAAAGTATAAAAAGAATGGCAAAGCACCCACCTGATAAAATCATACAATCCATGATTAAAATTAATCGCTTAGAAGCATATCAGTTAACTCTAAAAATCAGAATTTTTCAGATTTTTTAATGTTTTTTTATTTCCTTGACAAATAATTGGAAGTAGTTCCTAGTTTTTCATATTTTCTACACTGCGGCATTCGACTGTAATTTGTATTGTCCTCAAAGACAGAGAAGCAATGGAATTAGAGTCTATTAGCTGATCGAAAAATGGGCAAAATTTAGATTGGCAATTTTTTTTGCGATTAAAACACTTTTAGTGCCCAAATCAAACAGAGAGGTGACGTTGAACTTTAAGCTTCTAGCTAATCGGAAAGTGGCTGAAATTTCAATTGGCGATAAATTTCATTTAGCGAAAAATTCTCAGGGTAGTAGACAAAAACGATTAAAATTGTAAGCATCACTCAGCACAGAGCTCTAGGTGAGACTTAATTTTAATAAACTGATTTAACTTAGCCGCGATGGCTCGGGGGATAGAGCGTTCGCCTTCCAATGAGTTGAATCGGGTTCGATCCCGGCGATGGCTGGTCGATACGAATTCCACATCCGGCTTGCACCGATCACAGTGCTGACTTGAAATATCCTCAGTGGTAGATGGATCATGGGTCAGAATCCCTTTGCCGTCAGGCTAACCGTGGGAGGTTCTCGTGGTCTGGTCTTCCTCTCCATGTAACCCAAATGCAAGTTAGTTTCATCAGAAAGTCCTCCACGAAGGCAAATTTCTCCCAATTCTTGATCCAGGAGTTCCCTTGTCTTCTGGATTGGGTTCAAAATTACAAGCCCACAGAGTTGAGCACTAGTAGTCGTAAACTTCAAAATTGGGTCGGCTGTTCAACGACAGTTATAAAAAGATATAAAAAACTAATTTAACTGAAGACATCCAACATCGTTTATTCGTATAATTTATTAGAAACGAACTACTAAAACGTATGAAAAGCTTTCGCTTTGATTCTAATTTATTAACGTCGATACTTTATATTCAAATTTAAAGATATGTCTTTTGGTAGATAATTTACATTTTCAGAAGAAAGTAATAATTTAAATTATTCATGGTAATGTAATATTTGAAACTAATATATTTTTTAAAGTGCCAAACAATTTTTTTGCTATCGTTTAAGGCGTGAATTTCAAATCTCTTAATTTATACCTGACAGTCATTTTTTTTTACACAACAAAACAATCTCGATTAAATTTCACATTTTTTAATAGGTCGGACAAATTAGTTCCCACCTGGCCCTTTAATCTTAGCTACCTGGTCTTCACTTTTCCCTGCTACCTAATTTTGCGAGACTGGCTAGATTTCGGTTTTATCCGACAGCGCCAATTAGAAAGAAAGAAGGCTTGGAACATTTTAAGCGTGATGCATAACATATTTTAATAACCTTAGAAATTATCAGATAAGTTAATCGAAAATAAATCTTCAAGTAATTGTAAACTGTTGAATAAAATCGGAGGTGTAAAGATCGAATCTTTTCCACGAAAATTTTCACAATCTATATTGCAATTTTTATGAAGGTTTTTTACTCAATCAAATCAAATGTTTACAAAACAATAGCGTTGTAAAAATATCTCAATAATAGCGTTATATCTCCCAAAATAACATAGCTACTGTCTGCAACTAGTTTCATGTGGTGTCTGCATCAAATATGCTCGGTCTCGATTTTATCAGCCCGCCCGGTTTTACACAACTGTCCACTACACCGTTTATTACAATAATATACAGTCCTGAGACCAATATATTTAGAGACACAGTGCTGACGCAAAATATCTTCAGTGGTAGACGGATCATGGGTTAGAGTCCCCTTGCCCTCAGGCTAACAATGGGAGGTTTCCGTGATTTTCCTCTCCATGTAACGCAAATACGGGTTAGTTCCAGCAAAAAGTTCTCCACGGAGGCAAATTTCTCTCAATCCTCGATCCAGGAATTCCCTTGTCTTCTGGATTGGGTTAAAAATTACGAGACTACTGAGACTCCGAGACTCCGTAAACTCAAAATTGGGTCGGCTGTACAATGACGGTTAAAAAAAAATAAATTAGGCGTTATGATAATTTCTTGTTATTTTAGATCATTACTAATTGTAATTACTATTAAATTCGTAAATCATTCAATTCGTTATTTGATTAAAATGTAATCGTTAATCTTTGCATATGATCAATTACTTTTTGTCAACTCTGCAATTTGCATGTAATTCTGAGGACGTTATCCAATTTCTGTTCTTTAATCTCTAATAAACATTCTGCAGGTTTCCTAATCCACGTGACTTATGTATCCAGAGGAAGCATTCAAGCGCAAAATCCAACTGCGCTGAATGAAGTGTGATGGGATATTAATATCATATCGATTGACATATTTTAGCTTATATGTATGCGATGTATTCTGAT